CATTCCACATCCTGCCCTTGGAGAGGTCTTGTGGGTCACTTTTTGTGGCCGTAGCTAGAGCCACTGCGTCTTGGTGCTTTGAGTCCTCCAGCAGAGGTCACTGCTGTGCTGTGGTCCATGATACCAGACTCCTCCTGCAGGATAATAATAGAGCCCTGACAAGTCTAGTCACCCTGGGTCCCTTTCCTGTCTATAAAATGGGCAGAGCAGTATGGGATGTGTGTTTGTTGAGTATGAAGGGCAGATAGAACAAGCTGCATGAATTGTGTGACACCATAAGAATGTCAGGTGGAGGACCTAACCAAGCATTTACACATGATAGTAGACAACTCATGCTCATGTCAGAGGGGCGGCCTGGCCTGGTGATCGTGCACACTGTAGGAAAAGGTTTGGTGAAAAAGCCATATCTGACTGGGCTTCCCTGGTGGCACAGTGGTTAAGAATCTGCCTGCCAATGCAAGGGACATGGGTTTGTGCCCTGGCCTGGGAAAATCCCACATGCCGCAGAGTAGCTAAGCCCGTGCGCCTCAACTACTGAACCTGTGCTCAAGAGCCCACAAGCCACAACTGCTGAGCCCACGTGCCACGACTACTGAAGCCTGAGTGCCTAGAGCTCGTGCTCCGCAACAAGAGAAGCCACTGCAATGAGAAGCCTGCGCACCGCAACGAAGAGTAGCCCCTGCTCACCACAACTAGAGAAAGCCCGCATACAGCAATGAAGACCCAACACAGCCAAAAACAAACAAACAAACAAATTAAAAAAAAAAAGCCATATCTGACTTTGCTTTTCTTTCTCTTCTAGCTTAATCGAACCCTGAAGAAGATGGGACAGAGACCCTGAGTATATTCATACTTGACACTACTCAGGAACTATTTTGATGTCATCATAGGTGGGGAGTGTTTTTGCCACCATGAAGCCTTTACCTAGCTCAGCCATCAGCCAGTCAACTGAGTTGAAGTTTATTTAAATCAGGGAGTGAAATTTTTAAAGTAGGTCTCAATAAAGAATCTTCTTTAGAGTCACATTTGTCATCTCATTATTGTTGGGGAGCATCTGTGGACAAGGGCAACAATATGTAATTTCCCATTTGTCATGAGATACTTTCTCCTGATGCATTCGTTATTGGTGTTTGAATTATTTAATCCCTGGATTCATAAAGCAGTATACAGGACATTTTCATATTCAGTATCTTATCTGCATCTCACAAGACTCCTGTGAGCATTAATGACCTGCCATAATTTGCGTGCATGTTCGTGGAAGTGCTGGGTTTCAGGAAGGAACTACTGAACACCTACTGCCAGGACCGTGCTGAAAGGAATCCATGTACATTGCCTATACTTCACAGCTCGGGTTTAGTGGGATCCCCATTTCACTGATGAGGAAACAGACTCGGGGAGTTAAGTGACTTGATCGAGGTCACGTAGTTATAAGGAAAAGCAAAGAGTTGGCTCCAAACTCTGCTGTCTTCTGCTCCCAGGTCTCCTGACTTTTCACACTGAAAACTTTGGTTTATGTCGTGGGCAGCCTCTCCCACCCTCAGTGAGGTTCGGAGCTACTGCTTGTCTGCCGGAACCTTCACGGCCAGTCACAGCTGAGTTGTGTCCGTTTTTCCCTCTCTCTGCCATCCCTCCCTTAAACAACCATATGGGATCTGCCATCTTGGGTATTTCTTTGAGATGGCATCTTCTGCATCCCCAAACCGAGCAGCCCACACTGTCATCAGAGCCAATTTCTAATCTTTTCTAACAAAGCACAGATCATACTGATCTATAATAATAACAAACTTTACTGAAACTGGTTGTCTCAGGTAACTCACACAACCTACCCATCAAAGATCAAGTGTTCCTGGAGCTGTAGAAACTTTATATTCAGGAGTAAGGCCCTCAGAATGGTCTGAACACTGTTCATGCATTATCTCACTCTGGAGATGGGTAGATGTGGAATCCTGGTTTTATTGATGAGGAAAGTGAGGCTCAGAGTAATTAAATAGCTTGTCCAAGGCCAAAGCAGTAGGTAGTGAAGGCAGGTCTTTCGTTTCTCAAACTTGTGGTTTTACTTTAGAAAGCCCTACCCTAAGACTGGCAGCAAGAGGTGAAACAGCAATAAATACCCCATCAAAAACTGCATGGTCGGGACATCCCTGGCGGTCCTGTGGTTAGGACTCCGCGCTTCCACTGCAGGGGGCACGTGTTCCATCCCTGGTCTGGGAAGTAAGATCCTGTGTGCCGCGCTGCGTGGTCTATATTAGCTCCAAAGCAAGGGGTATTTCCTGGAACTTGGATGGGTGTAGCTGATGAGGTTGCTACCCCCCACCCAGTGACAGGGTTGCTGTGAATTCTGAAGCTAGGCTTTGTGCTGGTTCCTTTTGAGTTTTCTGGTTATAAGGGAGCTTGAGAACATGGAAAGAGCCGCTGGCTTGAAGGCATGACACCTAGATTCAAGTCTGAATTGTCTCACTAACTTACTATGTGACCTCTGGGCACACCTGAGGGTCCCTAGAGCCTGCGGCCAGGCAGAGCTGGGCCTGCTCCAGGGGCTTGGCATGGGGATGGCAGTGGCTGGAGCTGGGTGAACTGGCTTCCTCCTTATCTGGGGTGTCACCTGTCACTCGGGTGGACACCAGTGTGGCTCTTGGGGTGGAAGCTCCTGCTTGCAGGAGCCCCGTTCCTTGCATGTAAACAAGGATAGTAGAATCTGCCTTACTGGGCAGTCGTGAGGAATAAGTGAGATGCTCAGTTATTTATTTCTCCCCCGTGCTTGGAATTCATAAGCTCTTCTGTATCCTTGTTTCCTAGTAGTTAATGAAGGCTGGTCCCCGAAAAGATACGTCTATGTCCTAACCCCTGGAACTTATCAGTGTGACGTTTGGATAAAGATGTGAGTTCAGGATCTCAAGATGAGTGCACCCTGGATTATCCAGGTGGCCCCTAGATCCAATGACAAGTGTCCTTAGACACAGAGACACACAGGGAGGAGGGGACCACATGAAGACAGGCAGAGATTAGAGAGATGCAGCCGCAAGCTAAGAAACGCCTGGAGCCACCAGAAGCTACGAGAGGCGAGGAAGTGCTCTCCCCTAGAGCCGACACCTTGATTTTGGACTTTTCACCTCCAGAACTGAGAAGAAGTTTCTGTCTCAGCCACTAACTTTGTGGTAATTTGCTGCGGCAGCTCTAGGTGTCTAATAGAATGCCTGCTGTGTATCAGGCACATTATAGGATTTTATGCACAGAAGGTTGTATCCTTTTTTCTACAAGTGAGCCAGCCAGGCACTGCTAGGTGAGAGGGAAAAGGAAGTGGGTAAGAAACAAAACCCCTAGAAAACAAATAACAATTTTTCAGTTATAAAGAAAAAAAGCCCTTGTCCTTATGGGACTTAAATTCTAATGAGTGGAGACAGGTGGTAAAGCATATATAGTATGTTGGATGGCGAGGTATCTTGTGCAGAAAAATCCAGGGTAGGAGTTACCCCTTTGAATTGGATGGTCAGAAGAGATCACACTAATTGGTATCATTTGGTCAGAGACACGCAGTGGGCAAGGAGGCCACATTGCAGATACCTGAAGAAAGTGTTAGGAAGAGGAAACTGCAAGTGCAAAGGCCCTGAGGTCAGAGCATGTTTTGTATGTTGAGAGAATGTAGTGAAAAGGCCAGCTGGAGCAGAGCTAGCAAGGGCGAGGGAGGAAGAGGCCAGAGACCAGTGAAGCTCCCGGTCATGGGGAGTCATATAGGCCTTGTCGAGACTATAAAGGCTGTGACTAAGTCTGAGTTAGGAGGCCATTCTCCACCAGGGAGGTTACACAACTTGTCCAAGTTCCCAGAGCTAAAGAGGACCCAGGACAGAACCCAGGTCAGCCCAGCTCTAAAGGCTGTGCTGTCTCTGGAATGCCATCCTTCCTCCAAAAGGAAGGAAAACCAAAAGCAGCCTCTTAGTTAATATGTAATAAGTCCAAACATTCATAGAGCTCTTGGTAGCTTTCCAGGCACTTCATCTGTTACCTTGCTGGAGTCTAACGAGTGGCAGCATTGGGATCCTGCCAAGCGTTTGGATCGCCAGGCCAGTGCCAGCCAGGCCTTACTGCACCCCCGCCCCCAGTGCCTGTGTACACCCTGGTTCCCTGGCCTCGTTAAGAATGGCCCATGCAGTACCGTCTCTTCTGTACCCACAACCAGTCCTGACATTTGGCACTGGTGACTCATAGGATATAGACGCACCTGAGCACCCCCGGTGTTAACTTGTTTTGGTTTCACCACCAGAGTCTCATAGTTCATGTCAGAGTCTCCTGTCTCCGTCACTAAATTTATGCCAGGTCAAGGTGTGTTGTGTCTCACCCGGTCCCTCAGCACTCTTTTTTTTTTTCTGCTTCTTAACAGTAAACTTTATTTTTAAATTTTATTTTATTTTTTTTTAGGTTTTGGGGAAAATATTTTATGTGCTTTTTTTTTTTCTTTTGCGGTACGCGGGTCTCTCACTGTTGTGGCCTCTCCCGTGGCGGAGCACAGGCTCCGGACGCGCAGGCTCAGTGGCCATGGCTCACGGGCCCAGCTGCTCCGCGGCATGTGGGATCTTCCCGGACCAGGGCACGAACCTGTGTCCCCTGCATCGGCAGGCGGACTCTCAACCACTGCGCCACCAGGGAAGTCCTTTTATGTGTATTTTATTAATAAAATATAACATGCATTCACTTTTTTTTTCACACGCACACACACTGCATTTTATTTTTACAAGAGATAAATAAACTGACACGAAGCATTGTAAGTGGATGACCACAATAAAAGCAACAATGATTGCAATTACCAAACATGAAACACACTCATGCTATGTCATAATATTGGCATTCAGTCCAGTAATCCTCCACTGTAACAGCTCCTTTACTTTGCAGTGAAAATTGATTTGTATATTTTTTGCCTCTGAGTCCTTGTGGGAATTTTTTTTTATTCAAACAGAAAGTCACAAAAATTATAATCATCCTCATCAGTTCACTCAGTCCATGTAATTAATTTTTTTTCATCTTGATCTTTTGTTAGCACTTTTATAAATTCATCAGTTTTCCATTAGAGTTCTGAAAATGCTTATTCATTCAGTTCAGCAGTATAGTCAGCTACCAGAAACCTGTCCTCGTCAGAGTCTTTTCCATGAATTCCTTGAAGATGGAACCCTTTTATAGGAACATTTTTGCGAAAGCATCAGAGTACACCCAGAACTGTCTGTAAATGACAAAAGACTTAAAAATGACCACGGTTAAAGATTTGATGAAAGTTCATAATAATGCAATTGACAAGGAAATTTAGTTATTTCTGAGATATACATTTTAAAGTAATAACTAGAATTATGACTTATAACATTATACCAGAACATATAAGATTTTTAGAAATTTCATGTAATGTCTGAAACATTTATATTAACATATTTCCATACAAATAACCCAAAGAAAGTTTCGTATTAGTGGTTCTTTTGTTTGTTTGTTTTTTTATACTGCAGCTTCTTATTAGTCATCAGTTTTATACACATCAGCCTCAGCACCCTTCTTACCAGTAGATGGGCCATTTGAGGAGCTCAAGGTCACACAGAGCCAGTGTGTGAGAGCCTGGCTTGGGCCGTTTCCCAGTGTCTTGGCCCATGTCCCGCGGCAGTGCTGGGCAGCCGGCAGCCCTTGTGAGGGGGCAGGCACAGCTGAACTCCGCCTGGTACAGCTTGAGGAACGCAGGGCTTTAAGCAGCTGCAGCCAGTTCGCAGGGTTTTTATTCCAGCTTGCCTGGAGTGGAAGAAGCAGGTTCATAATCCTCCCACGCATAAAGGGAGTGAGGGTTTAATTAGCAGGGAATGGGGAGCTCTGGGTGGTGCCAGTTACCAAAAGTTCCTGCACCGGCAAGAGAAGGCAGCACAGCAAAGTGTGTGGCTCGGGCCTGGCCAGACCTGGGTTTGAATCCCGACTCCACATACTAGCTGTGTAACCATGGGCCAAGTTACTTAGCTTCTCAGTGCCTCACTTTCCTCATCTATAAAATGGGTAGCATTTCACTTGATTAAATTATATAAAGTACTTAGCACAGCACCTGGCTGTAGTGTGTGATTAGCGAATGAAGTCCATTATTATTAGCTGGCCATGACCTTGGAAATCACAGGCATAGAGTATATGGATCAGCAAGGCTACTTCATGGTGGAGCTGGGACTCGGAGCCTGCAGACTCACCCAGGGGCTTTCTCTACTCCCTGCTCGTTGGTGGACCCAAGGCAAGTCTGTGTAGGGACAGTGTGGAGACCAGTTCACAGAGAGGCTGAGACACTTGTCTAGAGCAGCCCAGCTGTAGAGGAGCTGGGGCTCGTGCAGAGTGGTGGCAGCAGGGGTGGAGAGAGGCTGGAGAATTCAAGAGCCATTTGGGAGGTTACAGAGGGCAGGACTTGGCAGTTGGCCAGATATGCAGGGGCAGGGGCGGGGAGATGCCCAGTCTTCTGGCTTTTGCAGCTGCGGAGACAGCGGAACCACGATTGAGATGGGGTGAGTGGGCAGGTTTGAAACAGGAAGCATGTGAAGGTGGGTAGAGAACTGGGTTCAGACAGGAGTTCAAGGACCCTGTGAGACATCCAGGTGGAGATGCCCAGGGTGTAAGACTTGGGCAGAGGCAGTGAACAGCTGGGGCCGGAACCCTGCTCTTCAGACCCCAAGGCTGGAGCTGGTTCCTCGCCACACAGACCAGCCTCTGGTGGCCTTGGCTTCCTTTCCACAGTGTGGACTGGACTGCAAGCCCCAGATGGGGCTTCTCTTCCCGGAATGGCCTTGGCCTTCGGTGGATACTGACCACCTCCTCATCTGCAAAATGAGGCACTGAGACCTGCTGTTGTCTGAAGGCTGCAGCCCTGCAGTTCTAGAATTCTGGGTAACATTCTAGGATTAAATGGGCCAGGAGCCCCCGTGAATACCTGAGAAAAGGGAGGCAGCAGTTGGGAGCAATGGCCTTTGCAATAAAGAGAATTAGTTGAATGAATGAATGATGAAGGTACAAGGAAGTGAATCAATGGGGTTCATCAAATGAAACGATATAAGTGTATCAATAAGTGATGGTGTGCCTTAAATCCTTTCTAGAAGGCAGATGCATAGAGTGAATAAATGATGAATGTATTCACTCTTCAGCAAATGAAGAGTGTGGGTGTGCTGCACTGGCTCTTCTTCCTGATGGCCTTTCATCCCCGTGCCCACCTGCCCCGCACACTGGAGAGGGGCCGGCCTGGGCTGTGGCTTGGGGTCAGGAGCCAGGCTGTGGGGTGGGGGAAGCACATCAGGAAGAGGTCGAGAGGGAGGCAGGGGGCGGCCAATTTGATCCAAAGCCTGACCAGCAACTTTCCTGATGTTTCTGAGAAGGAGGCGGGTACCGGAAGCAGCAAGTCATCCCGGTTCCCAGCTCCACATTCCTATCAAACCTGCGGCTGTATTCCTGGCCCCGCCCTTGATTAAGGTACCTTCCTCCTGTTCCCACCCCCACTCCCATTTCTCTCCCTGGGGCTGGTGGACCTGGAGGGTGGCCTTCTCCACTCTCTGATCAGGCAGGGGGCCTAGATACAAGTCCTGACACTGCCCTCTTAGAAGCTGGGAGATTTCAGGCAGGTTGCTTAACTTCTCTGGGCCTCTGCTTCCTCGTGCATCAAATGGAGTGAGTAGTTCTTCCCCACCTGCCTCCCTGGGCCCCTCTGAGCCTCAGCACATAAAGCTGTCGAGCATGATACAAGTGTTTGCTGTTACCCTTACCCGTCCCAGTTGTGTTGTATTGTGTCACCTGGAGATGAGGTTCGCCCTTGCTAACCTCTCTCTGTTCTATCTACCGGGAAAACAACTCACTCAGAGCTTCTGCAGGAAAGTCTCATGTTCTGTTTCAAATGGGAAGAGCTGCCTTGCTCACAGTTCCGTGTAGACAGTCAGGTAGGTGGGAGACAAACAGTCCTTTTCTAGCGTCTGACAGCCTTGGCAGGTGGTCTGACCTTCTGGCTGACAGAAATCTCTCCAGCCTGACAGCCCCTTCCTTGTCACTTGGTCCTCAGAGGAGAGGTGACCTTCCTGGGGTAGGGAGGCTCAGAAACTGTTTCCCACCTGCCTGCTTTTGACTTGCAGATCGGGCTGGGTTGATACTGAGGGGTAGTTGAGAGGGCTCCAGGCCCCAGGACCTCAACTGTAACCCCAGTCACCCCTAAAGAGTCCAAGCATAAACGAGGGCTGGCTTTGCAGACCCAACTCTAAGTCAGGCCCCTCTGGCCTCCCTCTCCCTCCTTCCTGCCAAATTTCTGCCCCTGAGCCCCACTGCAGAGCCACAGGAACCCAACTTAGTTAGGGCCTAGAACATTCCATCTGCATCCGAGCACCAACCCTGTTAGCCTTCCAGTGCTAGTCCTGTTTATTGCCATCGGAAGTGAGCTGGGAGTGAAACAGGAGGGAAGGGGGCAGGGCACAACCTTTGTTTTTGTTTTTGCGGTACGCGGGCCTCTCACTGTTGTGGCCTCTCCCATTGCGGAGCACAGGCTCTGGACGCACAGGCTCAGCGGCCATGGCTCACGGGCCCAGCCGCTCCGCAGCATGTGGGATCTTCCCGGACCGGGGCACGAACCCGCGTCCCCTGCATCGGCAGGTGGACTCTCAACCACTGCGCCACCAGGGAAGCCCAGGGCACAACCTTTGAAAGAATAACATAGCCCGAGGACATGACATAAACTGATTAAAACCAAATGGGTCCAAGATAGCAGACAAGTCGACTTCCACTAGACCTTGAGCCTCAGTATATGCTCACCGTAACACATCAGCAAGCTAAAGACACATCCACAGGCGCCATGGCAGTTCCAAGATCAGCCATAAAGATCAAGAAGTGGGCAGTGGCCCACTTCCTGGAAATCCCCGCCCCTTCCTGAAATAGCTGGAATACTCCTCCCACTCATTAGCCTATGAAATTACCCACCCCTATAAAAACTGACAACCCAGTACCCTAGTGCCTTTCTCACCTTCTGAGATGGCCCACGCTCTGTCTGTGGAGTGTGTTTCTCTCTAAATAAATCCACTTCTTACCTACCACTTTGTCTCTCACTGAATTCTTTCTATGATGAGACATCAAGAACCTGAGCTTCATTAAGTCCTGAAACCAGGTGTGTGATCTCCGTTGGAACACTGTGGGTTTGGGCTGGGTTTGAGTCCCGGCTGCGTGGGTTCGAGTCCCGGCACGTAGGTTCAGGTCCCAATGTGAGGTGCACGGTTTCAGGAGCATTGCTGCCAGGGCTGCCAGGGGCTGCAGACATGGGGCACCTGGGAGGTTCTTGCTCACCAAACTCACAGGTACATAGCAGTGAATGAACTTATAGTGAAAACTAGGTATGCAGGGGTGAACCAGACACGATGCTGGCCTCAGTCCACCAGCGGCACATCCTTGTGGTGAAAGTTCTTTGTGAAGTCAGAAAGAGCCAGACGGCGTCCTGACCATATTTTGACAGCTGTGTGGCTTCGAGAGGGCTTTACCCTCTCAGAGTTTTATCCTCATTAGTAAACAGTGATCATGTGAAGCTCACAGAGTTGTGAGAAACCAGAGGTAATGCACATTAACAAGAAAAACACCACATGGGAATTCCCTGTACGTCCAGTGGTTAGGACCCTGTAATTCCACTGCAGGGGGCACAGGTTCGATCCCTGGTCGGGGAACTAAGTAAGATCCCACATACTGCGTGGTGCAGCCAAAATTAAAAAAAAAGAAAGAAAGGGGCTTCCCTGGTGGCGCAGTGGTTGAGAATCTGCCTGCCAATGCAGGGGACACGGGTTCGAGCCCTGGTCTGGGAAGATCCCACATGTCGCGGAGCAACTGGGCCCGTGAGCCACGATTACTGAGCCTGTGCATCTGGAGCCTGTGCTCCGCAGAGAACAAGAGAGGCAGCGATAGTGAGAGGCCCGCGCACCACGATGAATAGTGGCCCCCGCTTGCCACAACTAGAGAAAGCCCTCGCACAGAAACGAAGACCCAACGCAGCCATAAATAAATTAATTAATTAAAAAAAAAAAGAAAGAAAGAAAGAAGAAAACACCACACACACACACACACACACACACACACACACACAATGTCTAGCATACAGTTAGTGTCAGTAAAGGTTATCTATCAGTATATTTTTTTTAACATCTTCATTGGAGTATAACTGCTTTACAATGGTGTGTTAGTTTCTGCTTTATAACAAAGTGAATCAGCTATACATATACATTTTTAAAATATGTTTTAAAAAATATTTATTTATTTAGGCTGCATTGGGTCTTCGTTGTGGCACACGGACTCATCATTGCAGCACGTGGGATCTCTAGTTGTGGCACATTGGCTCTAGAGCGCGCAGGCTCAGTAGTTGTGGTGTGCAGGCTTAGTTTGCCCCTTGACACGTGGGATCTTAGCTCCCCAATCGGGGAACAAATCCAAGTACCCTGCATTGGAAGGCAGATTCTTAACCATTGGACCACCAGGAATGTCCCAAGCCATCAATATTCCTAAGGATTGGAGACTTCCTGGTGGTGCAGTGGTTAAAATCCACCTGCCAATGCAGGGGACGTGGGTTCAAGCCCTGGTCTGGGAAGATCCCACGTGCTGCGGAGCAACTAAGCCCGTGCACCACAACTACTGAGCCTGCGCTCTAGAGCCCGCGAGCCACAACTGCTGAGCCCGCGTGTCACAACTACTGAAGCTCGTGCACCTAGAGCCCACGCTCCGCAACAAGAGAAGCCACCGCAATGAGAAGCCTTGAGTAGCCTGTGCACCGCAACGAAGAGTAACCCCTGCTCACCACAACTAGAGCAAGCCCGCACGTAACAAAGAAGACCCAACACAGCCATAAATAAATAAATAAATAAATAAAATATTCTTAAGGATCGGATCTCACAGCCTAATGGGGAGAGACACATATGCACAAATAAATGCCACACAGTGTGAGCCACTGTTCAAATGCCGTTTCCTCCACACAGCCTTCAGGGATAAAGCCTCAGTTCTCGGACAGGAGATGAGAGGCTCCTTGTGGAAGTGCTATAGCACTTTGTCCATCTCTATATCACCTCCCTCGTCTTGTCTTTCTGTGACTGTTTTTTGTGATTGTTTACATGTCTGTCTCCCACACTGGCCTGCCAGTCCCTCCAGGGTAGGCATGTGGAAATTTCTCTCTGAAATTGGCAAGGATTTCCCTGTAGTTTCCATCTAATTCAAGGGTGGGAATCTGTAAGAAGACCTGGAGTTGTGGCTTCCATCTGGGCCTGTCAGGGAAGGCTTCAGGGAGGAGGTGATGTCTGGGCTGGGCCTTGAAGCCTGTGCAGGATTTGGAACAGCAGCAATACGTGTTTCAGAGGAAGCCAAAAGGGGTGGGGGACAGCGTGGCAGGCTGGGGCCTCCCAAGCATCCTGTAGCATGGAGAGTAAGGGGCTGGGGATGGGGTTCGGCCCCAGCTCCCCCTCTAACTGCCTCTATCATCCTGGGCAAGCACCTCCCCTCCTTGGCTCCAGTCTCCTGTATACTGAGGGGCTTTGCTAAATGCTCCCAAAGGGTCCTTTCCAGCCTGGATATTTCAGTGGCTTCTTTGACCTGCCTCCGCTCCGGGGACAGACCCAGAAGGCAAAGTAGGAGTATCTCCCAGCTCAGAGAGAACCCTCCCAGTGACGGACAGCACATGGTCCTCTCTGCTCTGGAGGGTTTAATTGGAGAGTTGTTTCATTTTGGGGTAAGGGTTCAAACTTACTTGCCCAATCCCAGACCGATTTTCCAGAATGTGTATACAGTATGTGGGGAACAGTAGGGTCTGTGGAGAATGGCTTGGAATAGCTGCCTATCCTCAGACATTGCTGGGATTCCAGGAAACCGAGGCTCATCCCGGCAGGCTGGGACGGGGGCGCAGGATGCTGTCCTGGCACGCTCAGGGCATGCCTGTGGCGAAGTGAGGACCAGGAGAGCAGCGAAACCTCCCACATGCCTCCAGGCCCCAGCTTCCGAGGTCCCACAATGTTCCTATTGTCCACAGGGCCCTGCTCCCCCAGCGAGCAGCTCAGAGCCAAGGGCCTGGGTAGGGCCCTGAGAGAAAAGCACAGTGGTCAGACCCACATGGATCTTGGAGTCAGAGAAGCTTAGAAAAATGAAATCCTAGAATTAGAAGCTCACAGGTACTGAGGCTCCAAGCTGTCCAGACTGGAAGGATGGTCCACTTCCTAAAGTCCTGCTCCCTCCCCTGTTATTCTTTTCATTATGAAGTTATACTTGCTCTACCTGACTTACCTGGATTTCTTGTCTTCCAGTGACCTGCTGTGGCCCTCTGTGTGAGCAAATCTCCTCTTGCTTATTTGGGGCTGCTTTTGTTTTAAAATTAGAGCCCCTTTCGCTTCTAGCACTGTTAATTAAACTGCAAACGATGTTGTGTTGGTATGAGAAAGTTCATTTGTTTTTTCAAGTGACTGGTTAAGATTATGATCAGAGCAAGAGTCTAAAATTAATCAGCAGCAAATATTGGATGATTCCACTTATAGGAGGTGCCTAGAGGAGTCAAATACACAGAAAGCAGAATAGTGGTTGCCAGGGGTGGGGCAGGGGTGGCGGGCAGGTATTGGGTGTGAGTGCTAATGGGTACAGACTTTGGGGGGTAATGAAAATATTCTAAATAAAATAATGGTTGCACAACCCTGTGAATATACTAAAAACCACGAATTGTTCACAAGAGTGAACTTTATGGTATGTGAATTATATCTCAAAACTGTTATTTTAAAAAGTTATGCCTGCTGTTGTTACAAATTCGGACCATAATGACTTGTAAAAAGTGAATCTGGGACTTCCCTGGTGGCTCAGTGGTTAAGAATCCATCTGCCAATGCAGGGGACATGGGTTCGAGCCCTGGTCCGGGAAGATCCCACATGCCACAGAGCAACTAAGCCCGTGCGCCACAACTACTGAGCCTGCGCTCTAGAGCCCGTGAGCCACAACTACTGATGCCCTCTCGCCTAGAGCTCGTGCTCCGCAACAAGAGGAGCCACCGCAATGAGAAGCCCGCGCACCGCAGGGAAGAGTAGCCCCTGCTCACCGCAACTAGAGAAAGCCTGCGCATAGCAACGAAGACCCAACGCAGCCCAAAATAAATAAATACATAAGTTTATTAAAAAAAAAAAAAGTGAGTTTGCCACACCCCCATCTCACTCCCATAGTGAACCATTGACAGCATTTGGGTAGATTTTTTCCTTTCTTTGTGATGTTTTAAAATTCCATATATCTGCACATGTACATGTTCATATACATAAGTATACATGATATATATGTTATATATATATAAATTTTGTTTTGCAAAAATGGAATCCTAGTATATCTGTTATTTTACAGCTAGCTTTTTTCACTTCTTTTGAGGATGTATTTCCATGACACTTGTTAAAAACAATTTTATTGGGCTTCCCTGGTGGCGCAGTGGTTGAGAGTCCGTCTGCTGATGCAGGAGATACGGGTTCGTGCCCCGGTCCGGGAGGATCCCACGTGCTGCGGAGCGGCTGGGCCCGTGAGCCATGGCCGCTGGGCCTGCGCGTCCGGAGCCTGTGCTCCGCGACGGGAGAGGCCACGGCAGTGAGAGGCCCCCGTACCGCAAAAAAAAAAAAAAAAAAATTTTATTGAAGTATGGTTGAGTTACAATGTTGTGTTAATTTCTGCTGTGCGGTAAAGTAACTCAGTTATACACATATATATATTCTTTTTTTTCATATTATTTTCCATTATGGTTTATCACAGGATATTAAATATAGTTTCCTGTGCTATACAGTAGGACCTTGTTGTTTCCAGGATATTTTTTTTGTGTGTGGCCACACCGTGGGCATGTGGGATCCTAATTCCCCGACCAGAACCTGCGTCCCCTGCAATGGGAGCGTGGAGTCTCAACCACTGGAGCGCCAGGGAAATCCCCCAGGACGCTCTTTTTAACAGCTGGTGGTTTTCTGTTTTCCAGCTGTATTGAAACTCAATTATGCTGTCCCTCATGAACATTTAGGTTGCTCCCAGTGCTTTGCTGTTAGCGAACAATGACCATCTTTGTATGTGCATCTTGAGGCCCCTGGGATAGTATTTCTGGAGGATAGAGTCCTAGAAACAGGCCTACTGCATCCCAAGGTGGGCAAAGGCCCACCTTTTATAGATATTGACATTGAACCTTTGACAGGTGACATATTTATCCAGGGTCTCCCAGCAAGTCAGTGGCAAAGAGAGTAGGTGGTGAGTGAAATGGGGCCAACCAGGCATCACCTCCCACACCCAGGAACGCACAGACACAGGTGGACTTCCGGCTCTGAGAGAGAAGCGGCCCCCAGCCCCCGCCTCTGAGCAGGCGCAGAGTCAGGTGGGGACTCAACAGCCAGAGATTCCCAGAGGCAATGATGACATTCTTTTCCCCCTCAGCTTCTCCAGGTCCCCACCATGGCCATTCCTCTCCCTTTCATCTTTCTGAAATTTACCTTGAGATCTGTGTGTGAAAATAAGTGTAAGCTGTAAGTGCTGGTCATTCATTCACTCAGCCATTCCCACCAGTGCTCATTCGACATCAGCTTCTCCCCCCACTCCCCCCCCACCCCGTGGGGTTTTTCTTCATTCTGCCTTTGCATCTCCCTCCATCACAGCCCTCCTGCAAAGCAGGCTGGCAGGAAGAATGGGAAGTGGAAAGTATGGCATCCTTTCCCAGACTAGTCAGGGCCCTCCTCTGGACGCCTGCTCTTCCTTCGGGCTTCTTTTTCCTTTGCCCCTTATCATTCTGGACGAAGAGTAGTCACTAGCCTGTCTCACTCACCACACTAGCCAGCACTTCCCTGCCAGGATCCTGCCTCGTGCTATTACTGGGAATAAATTAGAAGGATTCCAACTACCTGCAATGATCTCTCACTGGCTCGCATCCGACTTGCTTTCTTGGGGGATGGGTGTCATTCAGCTCAAATGTTCCCACCACAAAGAGGCCTTCCCTGGAAGCCCCGTCTGTTCCCATGGTTCTCTGTCACAGTGTCTTACTTTATTCTCTTCCAAGCCCCCTTCACCATCTAAAATGATCTTTGTTGCTTTATTTGTTCCCTGCCTGTCTTCTCCATTAGAATGTTAGTTCCATGAGGGCAGGGATCCTGTCTTGTTCACCCTATCTACCCTGGAGCTCCCCAGCCAAGGAGCAGGTACTTGGTCAATATTTGTTGAATCCATGTTTGAATATAAATGCATGCACAAGGTCTGGAAGGTTCGACTTCATACTGACAACCATGGGACTTCCCTGGTGGTCCAGTGGTTAAGACTCTGTGCTCCCAGTGCAGGGGGCCCAGGTTCGATCCCTGGTCAGGGAACTAGATCCTGTGTGCATGCCACAACTAGAGACCCAACGCAGCCAAATAAATAATAAATAAATAAATATTAAAAAAACAAAAAACTGACAACCGTGCCTACATCTTAGGAGGGGACTGGGGTTGAGGGAGACAGTCAAGTAGGAACTTTAGCTTTATTTTAAAATTTTTGATAAGGAGAGTGTATTTACTTCTTAACTGATAGTTAAAAAATAAACACACCAAACGAAGGGCCCAAATCCCTTCGTCCTAATCCTGATATTTTGGTATGATTTTGGGCTGGTGACCTGACTCGCATAGCTGTCTGTGGCTTCTGGCCTCACCTGTAAACACAGTCCCACCTCCCACCTGAACCCTGGATTTACAGCCTGCACGGCATTTGTCCATTCATTATCTCACCGGATTACCCACAACCTTGGGACGCAGGCAAGGCAAAGATTATTATCCCAATTTTATAGGGTAAGAAATTAGGGTTCATAGGGGTGGAGTTGTCTGGCCTGTGGTCACACAGCTGTGGTCATGGAGGCCCTTGCCTCCTATCATGATGAGCTGACTCAGATAATGAGTTTCTAAACCCCACAAATGGCTAATTAGGGCCCAGAGGCTGGGCTGGGTGAGCTACTATCATGGCAAAGGGATCAAGGTCAGATCTGAAACTGTCTTCAGGGACCTGAAGGGAGCCCCTTGGGCTGGTGAGGAGAGGAATATAATCCCTCCTGGGCTTTAATGAAGAGTACTGGTGGTCTTTGGAGGCCAAGGTGGGTGTGTGAGCCCAAGTCCCTGATTTAACGAGAGTACCTGGAACCCTCCTTTCTTAGAGTTGCTTTCCCACAGGGACAGGGCCGGAGGCAGCAGCGAAGGGTTGGTGAGGGGCCAAGGGGGCTGGCCAGGCAGCCTGGCTCATGGCAGCCCCTTCCTAGGTAACCTGAAAGTTGGCGTTCTGGGCCAAGATGGTGGCCTCCCAGCTGTGGACAGATCCAGGGTGTGAGGCTGCCCCAGGCGGGCAAGCTGGGGTCCCCTGGGTCATAATTGTATTCCGAGCTGGGACTCAGTGAACCTTTGAGGAGGTGGGATTCCCCAAGTTGGCCTGTTTCCTCCATAATTTACTCACAAAGGTCCAAGGGACAAGCTGGGTACAAAATGTTTTCAATCCATTTTATCGCATGTTTACCAGGCACCAGGTATCAATAGTTAGAGTTTATGAGTGAAGACTAATTGTAAGGCACATCTTACTCCTCTCAGCCACTTTGTAAAGCAGGAATTATCCCCATTATTAAGATGTGGCAACTGAGGTTCATGGAGGCACACGGTCACACGGCAGAGTGAGTGGGGAAAGCCAGGATTCCAGCCTGGGTTGGTACACCCCTGTTCTTTCCATTCCTCCAAGGGCTGATGGCTGACAGAGATGAGTAGGATCCCGCTCCTTCCTTTGGGGGGAGTGGTGCGACAGACTCATCCCAGCTAACTATTGCACTGGTCAGAGTGATGTCACTGCCACGGCAGCCTAGTGGAAACTGATTCATCTCCTGGAGGTCGGGAGAGGCCTCTGGGGAGGGTGGCTAACCCAGGTCTGGATGGGGGAGCAGGAGAATGAGGCTGCAGAGGTTCCAAGGCCAGACACCCAATGTCCCATTAGACAAGGGCCTGCTTCCCATAGGTCCTTCCCATGGGACCCCAACCCCCCCAACCCTAGTCAGGATGCCCCAGTGGGGAGGGGTGAGATCCCTGACCCTACACAGGGGGTGAGGAAAACTCTGCAGGACCCCTTGTCAGGCTCAATACATCACTGAGTGGACACCTGGACCACTGTGGTGGTGGTGGTGGTGGCGTCCCATGGGAAGGGCCCCGGGGTCCCATGGGTGGGAGCATGGAGTCTCCCGGTCCGGCTCTGGGGGGAGGGGAAGGTGGCAGACAGAACTACCTGTAGGTCAAGGGTGTTTTGGAGTGGTGAGACAGGGTGAATGAAGCTAGTGGTCATCTGGGGGTGCTTTGGGGTCTGCAGGGGAACTGCCTGATTGGCCGGGGGTGGGGAGAATGCCTCCGCAAAGTTTCAGGCCAGGGGAATGTGGGGGATTTGCAGGTCCTTAGAGTGGGAAGCACTCAGGATGGGAGGAAGAGGAGACTTCCCGGTGGGCAGCGTGGTGGAGGAAGAAGTCACTGTGGGGAGGGGCTAGTTTGCGGTGGGTGAGGGGTTCAGGGGCCATCCCAGAGTTCTTTGAGGAGTCCACGGCGGGGAGTGGGAAGGGGTGACCGGGATCGCCGAGGAGAGGGGCGGTGGGGTGCTGGGCACGTGAGGCGGGTGGGGGTGCGGGGTCCGCGTCTGGGGGGCGGAGCCACCGCTGGGTGGGGCGCCAGGCCGCCGCCCCCTCCCCGCTCCCCCGCGGCGGCGGGCGGGGACCGAGACCAGCGGGACGACCGCGCCCGCGGCCGGCCCACAGCAAGGGGAGCGGGCGGCAGTGAGTAGGCGGCGGCCGGCCGGGCCGGGCCATTCGGGCAGCGGCTGCTCGGGCAGGTCCGGGCAGGGCCGGGCGGGAAGCAGGCAGCAGATCCGGGACCCCGCTCCGGAGCCCGAGCGAGGACTCCGAGGCCGCGGCCCCGCCTCCTCCCCGCCCCGCGCCCGCCGCTAGCGGGTCGCGCCCCGAGCTCCAAGCCGCGCCGGCTGGGCCGCGCCGGAATCATAGCCGCAGCCGTAGCTGGAAGCCGGCCCGAGCCGGGTCCAAGGGTGAAGCCCAGTCCCGGCGGCGCCCGGAGCCGGGCCCGAGCCCCGCGCGGCTCATGGCGGGGCCGCGGGTCGCGCTGCTGGCTTGGTGCCGCCGCCAGTGCGAGGGCTACCGCGGCGTGGACATCCGCGACCTGAGCAGCTCCTTCCGCGACGGCCTGGCCTTCTGCGCCATCCTGCACCGGCACCGGCCCGACCTGCTGTGAGTGCCGGGAGGGCGGGCGGCCGGCCGGGGCGCAGGGCGGCGCGGGCTCGAGCTGGGGACCCCCGCCCCGCTCAGTGACGCGGAGCCGGGGCGGCGGCAGGCGCCGCCCCCGGAGGCCGAGACTCCCACCCTCCCGCGGGCCCCCAACGCCTCGCGGAGACCCTCTGACCCAGGGCACCCCTCCCCCACTTGGCCTCTTTGACCCCGCCCACTGGAACACAGCCCGCCTCCCATGCTGGTCTTTCTGCTGAGGCCCTGGCCCCGCCCACAGGGCACTGATTTCCGCCCAAGGGACACCGAAGCCTCCAAGGCCTTGCCTCTTTGAAGGAGCACCGAGCCCTCCTGGGGACCCTGGGCCTTTCTTACACTAAACTCTTAAACAGGCACTCTGAGCAGCCCCCTCCACGTGGGGCATTGAGGCCTGTTCCCTCTGTGGGGCCCCCTTGCTTTGATTCCCCCATGCGATCATGTTTCCAGGGCACTAGCACAGTTCCTGACACAGAGGAAACCCTGGGTTAATAGAGGTCAGATGAATGGATGTAACCCCCTCCCCATTAGGACACAGACCTGTCTCCCCAGGTGTGTTCTGCATGACTCTGCTGTCCTCAGTGGGGCAGGGCAGGGAGGCTGAATGAATACCCCTAGGGTCTGACCTACAGCCCTAATGGGCTGCTCCAGGGTGTGAAATGGCCTCTTCTTGCCCCCAGGTGCCCAGTGAGGTTCCACGGGAAAATTTATTCAGACCCCAGAACAGTTGACTTGGTGTTTCTATCTCAGCTCCCTCTTCCTTGGGCCCTGGAACCTCTTCCATTCATTCATTCATAAAACACTGAGTGCATGTTTATCTGGCAGCTGCCATTCCTTGTACTTCCGGTCTCATCTGCAAACTGGGGACAAGAGTCATGGTCTTTGTCTGTCTTGCTTACAGCCCCTCGGACAGGGCTCCCCAAGCCTGACAGGGTCTGGAGTCTTTGTGTGTCTGTTCCACCTCCTGTGCTCCCCAAAGACAGCACCTGGGAGGCTTTGATGAAGGAGGGAAGGAAGGGAAGGATTGCCTCAAGGATTCGATGGTGTAGATGCATTTATTCTGTACCATGTAGGTGGTGGGGTGGGCCCTGGAGGAGAGGGTTTTGGGGGGTGTGGATGCAGAAGCGAACGAGATGAGGTGGAGATGTAGGTGGGCTGCTGCCTCTTGTGGTGCCTGTGGCCCGGGGTAAGGGGGCTCAGGAGCCGCGCCTTGAAGGTTGGAGAAGGAGGGCACCCAGATTGGACCCACGCATTAGAGCGGAGGGCTCAAGGGGTCTTCAGTTTTGGCTGGGGGGCAAGTGGTGGGGCAGGGTTGGCCAGTGTGTGACAGGACTTAGGTGTCAAGCTAAGCCACGCAATGGACCTGAGCCTGCCAGCACAAAGTGCAGGCTGCTTGGTTTCCGGTCAGCTCCTCCATGTCTTAGGTGTGCAACCTTGGGAAAATCACTGGATCCCTCCAGGCATCAGTTTCCTGGTCAGTAAAGGGGGGTTGATAATAAGACCTACCTCACAGGATTGTTGGGAGAAATTAAATGGGACAATGAACATTCAATTAACGTTAGTTATTATAAGAAGTGTTATTAAGCAGGAAGGGATGATGAAAGTGTCTCATTCCTTCGTTTATTCCACAAATGTCTGCAGAGTTATACTCTGTGCTGGACACTGTGCCTGGTAATGGAAATAACTACTAACCAACCAAGAGGCAAACCCCACACAGTCCCCCATGGCCTATGTGGGTAACAGATGTATAAGCAGTGCTGATAACTCCACGTGGGAAGTGCTGTATCAAAGGGCTAGGTTGGGAGGGCCTCCCAGCCGTCACATAGACTTCAAGGAGATAGTAGGAGCTGGGTCAGGGCTGAGGGAAGGGCATTCCCGGCAGAGGGGACCACCTGAGCAGAGACACAGGCGGCACTGTTGGAGCCCATAGCACAGGGCAGGGAGGGCTGGGAGATGTGGCTGAGCCAGAGTGCTTAGGGCTTCCTGCTGGCTAAGGAGGGTGGGTGGATGGGGCCACAGGGAGGGATGTGGCTAGAGTTCGTGTGGAGTGGAGGGGGCTTCCCTCCTGCGAAGAGATCCAGAATCAGGTCCAGGCATTCATTTGCAAGGCAGGCCAGCATCTGGGCTGCCAGCCCATTGCACGGGAGAAAAACTGAGGCCCGGGTCCTATATGAGGCATAGAGAGGACCTCGGTGATGGCTAGGGAGGATCTCCATGAGAGTAGGGCTGGGGTAGGGGCGAGGGCAAGCACCATCTTCTAAAGTGGTTCAGGCTTCTCGAGCTGTGGGCTCATCCCCCTCCTCAAATCTAGGCACCAATCTAGGCATGGTCCCTTGAGGGACCGTGTGGGTTTCAGTTTTGTGCTCCTCACCTCCCCCAGAGCCAAATAGAACTTCCCAGCCTTCGAAAACTCTCAGAAAATATGTTTCCAAAGCCTAAATGTTGATTAGGGACGAAGGTAGGGGAGGGAGAAGTGGAGGAAAAATTGTAGTATCGTGGGGACCTTTACAGTTTTCACGCTGTTTCCGGCATTTATGCATTCAGTAGACATTTATGGAGTGCCTGCTAAGGACCGGGCACTGTGGAGGGTGTTGAGTGCGCGCCGTGAACAAAATGTGACCCTAGCCTTCTAAGAACACTGCTGGGAGACTGAAATAAACGGCCCAGACAAGCTGCTTTTGTCTCATTCAGCCTCAGAACAAGCTTTTGTTGGGGGCTGGGCTGGTGTCACAGTGTCCCCGAGGTTTAGAGAGGTTGTGTAGCTTGCTCGGGGTCACACTCTTAGGCAGTGGCCAAGCAAGGGGAGGAGTTCGGGACCCAGCTGAGGGGAGAAAGAAGCGGTCTGGCCAGAGGTGGCCAAAGGGGCTGAAGTGCATACACAATCCCCTCCCCAGTCCACTCCGCCTTTTGGCCTTCGGCACCTCCTGGGGTTTGCAAACTACCCCTTCCTGCCTTGGCCCACGTTCACTGTACCTTGATCTCTGCCTGGAGAAGTTAGCAGGCGGCTGGGCAGGAGGAGGAGGGCTCTCTTGTGTCTGTGAGGCCGGCCTCTAACAAGCCTGGTCCTCCCCACCAGCCTGGGAGGTGGTACGAGGGCTTCCCCTAGTTTGCAGATGGGAAAATGAAGACCACAAGGACTGCCAACCCGCCCAAGGTCACACAGCCTGACCTGGAAGAACAGGGCCTGGGACCCAGACTTTGGAGGCCGTACTGCCTTCTCTGGCCTCTGGGCCCAGGTCTCAGGCAGTCAGGCTGCAGTTTCCAGCCATAGAAGGACAAGGCTTGGGGCGGGTGCACCCAGGAGGCTGCCGAGCAAGAAGGCTGGGTCTCCTTCGCTGGTTTCAGCCACTCCAGCAGCTGGAGCCAGGAGGTGAGGAGGGGAATAAATAAAAGCTAGGTTACTCCGGCAGGCCCTGCCACTTCTCACCTGTCCCAGCTTAGGAACTGGGACACCCTTCACTGCTCCCTGAAGGATGGTGCCCCCAGGAGTGGCTCAGCAGGGTTGGCCGACTGTTCAGTGCCAGCAGCTCTGGAGAATGTACTATTTCCAGGCTGGTTCAGACTTGTTCTATTTCCGGCCCCATTGGAACACCGTTCCTCTTCGGCCCGGGTTAGGGTTTCAGCAAGTTGGTGTGGCTCTCCAGGTTTGTGACATGCAGTGGAAGGAACAGAAATGTGGATTCCCAGGGCGGCTTCCTCTTCCCGGGGTGGCTTCCTCTCTCTGGGCCTCAGTGTCCCTATCTGTAAAGTGGGGTGAATACCTGCCAAGTAGAGTTGAAAATAAATTCAAGACAGGAGCTCAGCCCAGTGCTCCGCGTGAGGCCAGCAATCTGTGGGTGTCCTTGTCGTCACCAGCACTGGTCCTGGTCTTAGTTTTGTCTTTGCCACTGAGTCAGGACATGGCTTCCTGGGGGATAAACTTGAAGCTGGGGCTTTTCAACCCCGCCCCTTCTGAGTGATTTCCAGCCTCTGCTTGGAGGCCCCCAGGGGCCGTGTGCTCATTCTCTGCCCCACCTGGCAGCCCCCGCTCTATTAGCACGCGTTCCTTGCCTCAGTTTCCTCCTCCAGAGTCCCCTCCCCCAACCCTGCTGAGACCCAGGCTGGCTGGGCTGTGGTCACCTCCACTGGTCACGCCCCTGCCCCAGCCCTCTCCTCAATGCTCCCCCCCCACTTTGTCTCTTGCAGAGAGTTTGATTCACTTTCCAAGGACAATGTCTTCGAGAATAACCGTTTGGTGAGTCCCCCAGACAGATGGAAGCCCACGAGGCTGTGTGTTTTGGGAGCGTGTGTGTCGGAGGGCAGGGGTCTTGCAGGGCAGGAGCTGAGGTGAGGGGCTCATGGACCAGCTCCCAGAGCAGCTGCCTTGCACTGGGGCCCTGGCCGCTCCTCTCCCCACCCCCTGCTCCCCTCTGGCCCACTTGTGCCTGGAGCACCAGACCTTCCCCTTCTCCAGGTCACAGTCACCCCTGCCCTCATCGCCCTCATCCCGCTGAGCAAAGCTGGGTCTGTGCAGAGTGGCGCCCACTGACCCTGCCTCATCTTCCTCTTCCTGCTTGTGACTGCTTCTGTGCACCCCCCATCCTTCTCCCACCCCTGCACCTGCCCCCCACCCCACACGTTTCCCCCCCCTGCCTCAAACCTTCCCCCACCCTGGCATCTGCACGCCCCCAGGCCTTTGAAGTGGCTGAGAAGGAGCTGGGAATCCCTGCTCTCCTGGACCCCAGTGACATGGTCTCCATGAGTGTCCCTGACTGCCTCAGCATCATGACCTACGTGTCCCAATATTACAACCACTTCGCCAGCCCTGGCCAAGGTGAGAGGGGTGCAGCCCTTCAGGGAGGCTGGCCCTGGGGGCGGGGCATGTGTCACACTGTCTTCTGAGGTGCAAACAGGCACAGGGAGGCAGCTCATCATTCATTCACTCACTGAAATATTAATTGAGTAAAATAACACTGTGCTGGGCCCGGGGGACACAGCGGTGAAGGAGATTGCTGCCTTCGGGGAGCTCATAGCCTGGCGGGGTAGACAGACAACAAACGCGTGAACCAGTAACTGAGTGAAATAATGTCAGAGGAGGGAATTCCCTGGTGGTCCAGTGTTAAGGACTCGGCGCTCCCAGTGCAGGGAGCACGGGTTGAATCCCTGGTCGGGGAACTAAGATCCCACAAGCCACTTGGTGAGGGGAAAAAAAAAAAAAAATTAATAATGTCAGAGGAGACAAAGCAGGACGAGTTCATCCGCTGTCTGTGAGTTCACCTCTCTGGCACCCACCCTCACTTCCTGTTTGCAGACACCTCCCTGGGGTTTTTTTTCCTCCAGTGGGGAAGTGGTCCTGTAGGGCTGTTGTGCAGCATCTTCCCCAGCAGTGACCTTCAAGGCCTGAGAACTAAGAGGCTGGGGAATTGTGCGGGGTGGGATAGGGGGGTGGGGGTGGGGGGATGGGAGGCTGCAAGGGTATTTCTCGGCCCTGAGTCAGGTCACTGGGTAGCTACTGAGCCTCCTGCCTGGAGAGTCCCCATGTGGGAATCTCTCCTGGGCCTTGTCTTCCGCAGAGAGGAAATGGGCTCAAAGAGGGGAAGGGAGGAGCTCAAGGTCACACAGCAGGAAAACCAAGTTCAGGTGTCCCAACTCCTGCGCTGTGTCACTGCTGTCAGGGGTCCTCTGGGGGTGGGCACCTTGCCCCTCCACTGCCATGTCAGTCCTTCCTCCAGCCTCTGCTCTCCATTTGGACAATCTCAGCCCATCTCTTAAAAGAAAAGTATTCTAGGAAGTACCGATTTTCTTTTTCTTACTAGGAGTAAAACATGCTTACTGTAGAAAATTAGAACATAGAAAACATAAAAATTAAAAGATTAAAATAATCTGTTACTCCCCATCCCCCCCATAATGCTAGGCATTAATATTATAATTGAACAAATAACATTATATGTATTTTACTAGAAATAAAAATGAAAGTATTTCTCAACTGCCGAGTGTCTGGTGAGAGGCAGGTGGACTGAACGTTTCTGTGCTGCCATTTACTGTCTGGGTGACAGTGGGCCACAGGGTCACCTCTCGGCTCAGGGTCCCCTTTGCAGTGAGGATAAGAACAGCATCCGTCTTGCAGGGTTGATGGGAGTAAATGAGGAAGGATGACCTGTGTCTGGTCCTTACTGAGGACTCAAGGTTACTATTATTATTACTTTTTTATTCCATTGGTTAGAATTTAGCTTGCTCACCTAGAATCACAGTTCAGTCGTATCTTCTGGAGGGTTCCCTGTGGCCAAACCCCGATCTCCCTCTACTAAGCTCTTCTCTGGAGGGCCTCCTTCCGGGGACCTGTGGGCTGGGCAGGTGGGGCAGGGCCCTTGGTAATACTGTCAGTGGTGCCCACTTTGTTCCCGGTCCTCACCAGGCACCCTGGGAGTGAGGTCACCCTGGTGGCCCAGCTCCCCGTGTTCTGCCCGGGGCAAGAGCACCCCCTGGGCCTGTGGGGAACTCCTGTTGCTAAAGGCACAGCTTGTGCTACCATACGGCTTGGCCCCTAAATGCAAACCATTTTTATCCCACCTGCTGCTCAACCAGAGGGAATGCAGCGAGGTGTTCCAACGCTGGAGGCGAAGCTGGCTCTTAGGCTCCCCCAGATGGTCCTCTTCTGTACCTTCTGGGTGAGGGGAGGGATTTCAAGGGTAATTTTGACCAGGCTTGACTTTCACTGTACTGGGTAACTTTGGAAGCTGGCTGTGGCTGAGACAACACCGTGCCGTGCTCTCCTTTCATCTCGTGCCAGGCTCCGTGGAGGCCGGTGACCCTGGGCATGTCAGCTGACCCCTGACCTCCAGGAGCCACAGCCTAGTCTGGAACCAGAGTGTGACGGAAGGAAGCCCAGTGGCTGAGGGACTCAGAGGAGGGGTACCTCCCCCCTACCAGGGTGACAGGGGTGGTGTCATCAGGATGAAGCCCAGTTTCTTAGCGGGGCCCCTGAGGGCCTCTCCCCACTTAGCTTAAGCCACTCACTGCCCCTGCTGTAGTCATACTGAATTTCTTGTGCTGCTTTGAATGTATCACATCCCTTTACTGCTAAGCCTTTCTTCTTGGTGATCCTCCAGTCCCTGTCCTCACCCCCCATGCTCTGGCACATTCTTTCCTACTCATCCTCTCACCCCACATTTTGCCTCCTCCAAGCAGCCTGCCCTGATATACTCCAGGTGTTCTTATAGCCCCCTGCCCCGTGGTGAACATATAAGACTCTGGTCATAGTATCTCAATTACTCCCTCTCCCCTGTAGACCTGCTACATGACTCCAGCACCTGGCACTTGTTCATTCATTTAACAAATATTTATTTCGCCTCTACTGTGTGCCAGACACTGTGCTAGGTGCTAGGGAGAGAGCTGAGAACGATACAGACTCACAGAGCTTGCAGTCTAAAGGATGGGGGAGGGAGAGAGAGAACAAAGTAATTAATATAATTGCAGATAAGTCCGATAAGCAAACAAAATAAGGTAATGGTATAAAAAGCAAAGAGAGGGGCTTCCCTGGTGGCACAGTGGTTGAGAGTCCGCCTGCCGATGCAGGGGACGCGGCTTCGTGCCCCGGTCCGGGAGGATCCCACGTGCCGCGGAGTGGCTGGGCCCGTGAGCCATGGCTGCTGGGCCTGTGCGTCCAGAGCCTGTGCTCCACAGCGGGAGAGGCCCCAGCAGTGAGAGGCCCACGTACCGCAAAAAAAAAAAAAAAAAGCAACGAGAGGAGGAAGTGGCTATTTCAGGTGAGTAGTCATGGAGGGCTTCTCTGAGGAGGTGACATTTGAGCTAAGCCTTGAACAAGGAGGAGAAGGAGGCCATGTGAAGATCTGGGGAGGAATATTCCAGGCAACGGGGCAGCAGGGGGCCTGTGTGCTCCAGGGGAGTGAGGGGGAAGGAGGAGGTGAGGCCAGGGTTGGGGTGGGGGTAGGGGGTGGGGGGGTGGGGTAGTGGTGGTGGTAGGGAGTGGGCCCAAAATTTTTGACCATGACTCATGGTAAGAAATATGTTTCCCATTATAATCCATGTTCATGTACACATATGTCACTGAAACAAGTTTCAGGAACCGATTCTTCCCCTTAAAACATGAGATGCCCGCAGATCTTTCCTTCTAATTCATCTTTACAATATGCTGGTTGCCATCCACTCAGTCGATTTCAGGGTCCATTAATGGATTGTGACCTGAGGTGCTGGCAATGCTACCTTAGACCACAGTAAGGAATTTGGATTTTTTTTTTTTTTTTTTTTGGCCGGGCCTCACAGCTTGCAGGATCTTAGTTCCTCAACCAGGGATCCAACACAGGGCCCCCTGCATTGGAGGCGCCTAACCACTGGACCACCAGGGAATTCCCTGGATTTTATTTTTAAGAATTAGCATAGGCTTCCCTGATGGTGCAGTGGTTGAGAGTCCGCCTGCCGATGCAGGGGACACGGGTTCGTGCCCCGGTCTGGGAAGATCCCACGTGCCGCGGAGCGGCTGGGCCCGTGAGCCATGGCCGCTGAGCCTGCGCGTCCGGAGCCTGTGCTCCACAATGGGAGAGGCCACGACAGTGAGAGGCCCGCGTACCGCAAAAAAAAAAAAAAAAAAAAAGAATTAGCATACAGTAGTATTGATTTATCTTTTGGTATACAGGTCTCTGAATTTGGGGGTTTTATTTTAATCACTGGGTACAGAGTAGGTGCTTAGTGGGTATTTGCTGAAGTAATGAAGGAGCAGAGTCATGGAGGAGGCGGGTGGGCTGGGCGGTGGGTTTCTTCTGGTTCGAGGGCGTGCAGGCAGGGTTCCGGGCTGCACCTGCCCACTTGGGCTTGGGTGGGGCAGCTTCTCGGCCCCAGGGAGCCAGCCCATCTTCCTGAACCTTCAGGCCGGCGCCATGTGGTTCCTCTTCTTTCCTTCCCTTCACCTGTTCAGCCTCGTGGGCAGGAAGCTACCCGTCCTTTCACATGTTGGGTGCTGATGGTTCTGTGCTTGTCCTGGTGCCTTATTTTATTTTATTTTTTAAAAATAAATTTATTTATTTATTTTTGTCTGCGTTGGGTCTTCGTTGCTGCACACGGGCTTTCTCTAGTTGCGGTGAGCGGAGGCTACTCTTCGTTGTGGTGCCCGGGCTTCTCATTGTGGTGGCTTCTCTTGTTGCAGAGCATGGGCCCTAGGCACACGGGGTTCAGTAGCTGTGCCTCGGGGGCTCTAGAGCGCAAGCTCAGTAGTTGTGGGGCATGGGCTTAGTTGCTCTGCGGCATGTGGGATCTTCCCAGACCAGGGCTTGAACCCGTGTCCCCTGCATTGGCAGGCAGATTCTTAACCACTGCAGCACCAGGGAAGTCCCTGGTGCCTTATTTTTCACGCTGCCCTGTGCGGTGGGAGTCACTGTTCCGCTTTGCGGAGGCCTGGAGGGGTTGGGTTGCTTGCCCTTGGCACTTAGTTTGGAAGGAGGCGTCCCCTGCCTGTGTGAAGTGGGAGCCTGGTCCCACTGCGTCGGTGGTCAGCCCTCAGGTGGTAGCCACGGAGCTCAAAACTCAGGCCAGGTTGGGCCTCCTGGACCTCCAGGGTCTCCAGCTGCCTCAGAGCCTCTTTCTGGTCTCTTGGCAGCCGGGGTCTCATCACCCAGAAAGGGCCTGGCAGCATCCTCCCCGCCATCCAAAGCACCCACTCCCGCGGAACCAGGAGACAGGGCTCAGGTAGGCAGATGCCGGGTGTGGGCAGGTGGGGTGGGGGGACAGCTGCCACTGCCGCGTTCCGCGGGTGTTCTTGGTCCCTTTCCCATTGGCTTTGGGACTAGATTCTCACAGGCCAGGCCAGGGCGGTAGGGGCAGGGGATGGCAGGCCTGGGAGGGGCCCAGGGCGTCCATGGCACCGACTCTCCATCATGGGACTCACAGGACTCGCCCATGCAGTACAGCAGATTCTCCCCTTGGTTCCCGTGAGACAGGGCTTTAAACTTCCTGGGGTGATTCTGCTTAGTCCTCTCAGCAACACTGGGAGGCGGGTATTGTGTGTCCTGACGTACAGATGAGGAAACTGAATCTCAGAGAGGTTTGGTCATTTGTTCAAGATCTCTCAGCTGGGAAGTGGGGGCCTCACTGCCAGCCCCCTGCTCCAAGATGCTTAGGGGATGACACCAGCATTTCACATCTGGACAACACTTCACAGTGTGCAGAGGGCTTTTCCCACCTGCTCCCAACTGCGCCTTGCTGGAGGACCTCTTGAGGGACAGGGGGCCCAGCCCACGGTGGGTGTCCAGTGAGCATGTGCAGGGCTGAGACAGGCAGGGGTAATAGGATTCCATTTGGCAGGTAGGAACCCAAGGCTCAGAGACGAAGACAGCTTGCTCAAAAGCTCAAAAACTTGGCCTTAAATCTGCTTGGTTCTAGTTGGGGGGACAGAGAAGGCAGACGAGGTGGGCCTAAGAGGGCATCCACCTGTCAGGCAAGGCCCACCTGTGGGGACGGGAGCGGGACAAGAGCAGCTCAGGCGAAGGGGTTATACAGCCGGAAGCTGCCTTCCTGGCGGACAGGGCCCTAGAAACTGGAAGTCTGGATTTTTGTGTTTCCATCCTGACTCAGTGACCTTGAGCAGGTCTTTCCCCCTTTCTGGACTTCAGTTTCCTCATGTGCAAAGCAGTGACAGTCCCCACCCTCTGCCCTTCTGGGGCTCTGACGGAGTGTGTTAGCACTGCGCACTCTTGGGAGATGGCCACCGTTAGAGTGGGGAACAGGGAGTGTTCTTGAACAGGAAGGCTGGTGACCCCAGCCCCACCCCCAGTCTGCCCCCCCCATTCCCTGCAGGGCGATGAGTGCTCCTCGGGCAGCCTGTCAGAGCAGGGCGCCCACCGGACCCCCAGCAGCACGTGTGCGGCCTGCCAGCAGCACGTGCACCTGGTGCAGCGTTACCTGGCCGACGGCAAGCTGTACCACCGGCACTGCTTCCGGTGAGTGGTGGGGACCCTGGGGGGGCGGGGAGCTCCCCTAGATGCAGCACCATGGTGTGCCAAGCCCCTTGGCAGGCTCGTCATGCTGGAGCATAAGGCCTAGTGAGGGGAGAAGATTCGGTCAGTCACAGAATTAGAGACAGAAATGGGGCCAGAGCTCTTTGAGACTAAGTACCTGATGATTAAGGAGCAGAATGTGCTCTAAGAGCTGTTGAAAAAAGAAAGCATTTTAAAAATCTTATTTTATTTTTTTCTTCCTTTTTTTTTTTCTAAAGAAAGCAGTTAAAAAAAGAAATCATAGTAACAACTTGTTTTCAGTGTGTGGTTCCCAGGGGAAGCCAGGTTTAAGAAAAATGGAATAAGAGGCAGGGAAGATATAAATAGCTTAGAGAATGTATGAAAACGTTTTATATGTTAGAAAAAAAATCAGCAAAGAAAATTGAATAGTCCATGGAAACTAGTGACTGGGAGTTATAGTGTGTATTCAGTTGTGGTTTAGAGTATGTGTGTGTGTGTATGTGTGTGTGTGTGTGTGTGGTGTGTGGTGTGTGTAGGTGTGGTGTGTGGTGTGTGTTGTGTGTGGTGTGTGTGTGTGTTGTGTGTGTTGTGTGTGTTGTGTGGTTGTGTGGTGTGTGTTGTGTGTGTCGTGTGGTTGTGTGTGGTGTGTGTGTGTGGTTGTGTGTGGTGTGTGTGTGTTGTGTTGTGTGTGTTGTGTGGTGTGTGTGTGGTGTTGCGTGGTGTGTGTGTTTGTGTTGTGTGTGTGTTGTGTGTGTTGTGTGGGTGTGGTTTGGTGTGTGGTGTGGTGTGTGTGGTGTGTGTGTGTTTGGTGTGTGTGTTGTGTGTGGTGTGTGTGTGGTGTGTGTGTGGTGTGTGTGTGTGGTGTGGTGTGTGTGTGTGTGTGTGTGTGTGTGTGTGTGTGTGTGTGTGTGTGTGTGTGTGGTGGCTGGACCTGGAACCCCAGGCACCTGATTGCAGAACTGAGGTGTCATGGGGGAAAAATCTCGAGGAAGGAAACCATTGCACAGTCACGTCTGGCCATCAGGGCAGTGTTTTAAATACTTTTTATGGTGACATACGTTTGACACTGTGGCTGTTGTAAGTACATCCCTGAAATCAAACTTGTATGAATAGATGCACAACTGGAATTAGAGTTTCATAAAACAAGTGTGATACATTCTGATATATCTTATTTTATTCTATTTCATAACAAAACAAAACAAAAACGCCTGGTTGGTTGAAAACCACTAAATTGATTTCTTGAGCCACTAATGAGTGGCAGCCCGCACACTGGATGGAACCTCCGTAGGAGCTGGGGGAACCTTTGCTTCCTCTTGCAGCAGAAACTGAAGGCGTGTTTCACAATTTATGTTGCTGATTTCACGTGGTTTTATTGTTCTGGTGTGATTCTGACATTTACCCTTTTTCTTTTCCGCTGGGAAGTTCTGGGTACTGAGACGGGATCCAGGCTGGCAGTTGGGAGGAGGGGTAGCCAGCACCCTGGGCCGGGCTGCCTGGCTAAGTTGATCCCCCCATCCCACCCCACCCCTGTTTTCCCTGGCAGGTGTCAGCGGTGCTCCAGCACCCTGCTCCCCGGAGCTTACAGGAGTGGGCCAGAGGAGGGCACCTTCGTGTGTGCAGAGCACTGCGCCAGGCTGGGCCCTGGTGGGCGGTCAGGGGCCAGGCCCACACTCCCCCCACAGCCAAAGCAGCAGCAACTTACAGAAGAAGCCAAGGATGTGGAGAGAGGCGGCCCCAGCCCTAATGCAGCTGCGGGGCCCGAGGTGGACGTACCCAAGGCCAGCTCTGAGGGCCGACCCCAGATCCCCACCAAGCCCCAGGTTCCCGGCAAACCACAGGAGATGGCCAGCACCCCGGGCAGCCGCCCCACACCTGCCCCCAGGAAGGCCTCTGAGAGCACAGCCCTGACGCTCCCCACGCCCCGGCCCCGGTCCAGCCTGCAGCAGGAGAACTTGGTGGAGCAGGGAGGCGGCAGCGGCCTGGTGAATGGTGAGCAAGGGCCCGACTGGGGCTGGGCGCTTCCTGAGGGGTGCCTGGCGTCTAAACGTACACGTGCCTGGGAGTATTCCTGGGGCCGTGCTGTCCTTGCCTGTGTGTGCTGTGGATGTGCTGGGGACGACCGTGGTGCTGAGATTATTAATTCACGCAGCAAACGGTTACTGAGGCCCCTCGGTGCACGCTCTGTTCTCCATGCTGCAAGGACACAGACCCCTGCCCCATTCTGTGTGCCCAGGATGTGTGTCCTTTTGTGTCCATCTTGTGTGCTTCAGTTTCGGGGTGTAGGGAGTGTACATCATGTGTGCCTGTGTCCCGAGTGTGTCTGGTTCTGTGTCCACACTCAGGTGACCTCCCCTCCCAGGCCCAGCCTGTGTGCTTGTCCACATCTGGATGTCTGGCAGGGGACAGCTCAGGGGCTGGGGGTAGGGGAGGGTGTGTCCCTGGTCAGATGGGCCCCTGGGGCACTCCCCAGGCTGGCCTGTTCTGTAGTGGAGACCCCTGCCTCACCCCTCATTGTCAGACCTTCCCACATGACCTCCCTGGGCTTCCATGAGCTCATGGAAACATGGTTCCTTGTAACCTGAGACGTGCTGGGCAACTCTTATCAGAGGAGGCCCAGGGGAGGGAGACTCCCAGGGTCTTCCCCTGGGACTTGTTCGTTCTGTTCCGCACTCGTGGAGGCCCGTTCCTGAGCTGGGCGCTGGGGATAGAGATACTGTTCAGACCTGTTTGTGCCTTTGAGGTGCTGCCAGTCTCGAGGGAGAGATGGACACAGACATGAGGATTTTGGTAGAATGTAGATGTCTGTTAAGATGGGGGAGCAGAGGCTATGGTAGGGTTCACGGAGGACACTTGGGAGTCAGGGGAGGCTTGCAGGAGGAGGTGACCCTGGGGCTGAGTTGAAACAATATTTCCTGTCCACTTTGGGAAAGTGTCAGAGGGGCACTTGGGTTCCCCCTTCTTTTTTTTTAAATAAATTTATTTATTTTTGGTTGCTGCGCGCGGGCTTTCTCTGGTTGTGGTGAGCGGGGGCTACTCTTCGTTGCGGTGCGCGGACTTCTCATTGCGATGGCTTCTCTTGTTGCGGAGCACAGGCTTTAGGTGCACGGGCTTCTGTAGTTGTGGCTCGCGGGCTCTAGAGCGCAGGCTCAGTAGTTGTGGCACACGGGCTTAGTTGGTCCGCGGCATGTGGGATCTTCCCAGACCAGGGCTCGAACCCGTGTCCCCTGCACTGGCAGGTGGATTCTTGACCACTGCGCCACCAGGGAAGTCCAGGGTTCCCCCTTCTTAACTGAAATACGAATGGGGTCTCTAGGTGTCCTGGCCTTGCCCTTTTGACCTTCTCTACCTGTCACCTTTGGTGTTTATCTAATCTCCCTGAGTGCTGGGCTGGGGAGGTAGGAGGGTGCAGGTGAGGTTGCCATGGCCACCTGGAGTCCATGACCTGCCAGGTGGGACGGAAGGGCATCCTTGGTAAGGCAGGCACTTGGGCTGGCTCCCTTGGTGCCCCACCGTGCTGCCTGGCTCACAGCTGCCCGTGAAGACCTGTTTCATTCTCCTTTCCCATCTAGGGAAGCTGCATGAACCCCCCATCCCCAAGCCCAGAGGGACACCCAAGCTGTCAGAGAGGTATGCTGGCCCTGAGGGGTTTCAGGGCCCTGGTAGGGGGAAGGGGAGTACCCTGGGGTCTGGGCGGGTAACAAGGCCATGTGACCCACCAGCACACCCTCCCAAGAAGGGGTGGGGCTCATCTCTGGGGGCAGGAGCCTGTGCCCACATCCCCTTCCTTGTGGCTCCCCTGGGACCCCCTCTCCTGTGGGCAGCAATGCCTGGTGGAGACGGCTGCCTCTGGGGTCCCTTCACCCCTCCAAGCCTCCGCTGCCTGTGGAACGAGGGAGGCCTAGGCCTCGCTCCTAGAGTCGTCGTGCGAATCAGCAGCAGAGTGTAGACGACCCAGCAGAGCTCAGCGGCACACCTGGCTCAGATCCTCCAGCCCTGGGACCCCGTGTCACAGGCGAGGACATCGGTTGCCAGCTCTTGTTTGGGAGCTGTGTTTCCCCTGTATGGTCCATGAGAGAGAGGGCCGGGGGGAGAGAGCCAGAGACAGAGGAAGGGGAAGGGAGAGGCCCCCTTCTTTCTGTTTCAGCTCTGGGCCCAGACTGGCCCCACTGGGCTGGGGTGGGAGAGGAGAAGGGTGCAGTTTCTCATCCACCCCCTTTGGGCTGCACTCAAGACTGTCTGGGGAGAGAAGGACATGCCCCCCTTGCCTCCTAACGGTTTCTGCTTCTTCCTGCCTCTGTCCAGGACACCAGCCCCCAGGAAAGACCCCCCATGGATCACACTGGTGCAGGCAGAGCCGAAGAAGAAGCCAGCCCCCCTGCCCCCGAGCAGCAGCCCCGGGCCGCCGCCCCCGAGCCGGGACAGCAGGCAGGTGGAGAACGGAGGTGTGCATGAGGTGGCTGGCCCGGAGCCCAAGCCCTACAACCCCTTCGAGGAGGAGCAGGAAGAGCCCCCAGCTGCACCCCGTGCAGCCACCGGCCCTGCCCCGACTCACCCGGAGTCCACACCCAAGTCCCTGCACCCCTGGTACGGCATCACCCCCACGAGCAGCCCCAGGACAAAGAAGCGCCCCGCCCCCCGAGCACCCAGTGCATCCCCCCTTGGTGAGTGCCGTTCTCGGGAGCTCTCCTGACAGTTGGGACTCTGGGGTTGGGCACCTGGGTCAGCCCAGGGCCAGGGAAGGGCACGTGGTGCCACAGGATCCCCTCCAGGCCAGGTGCCGTGTGTGTCATGTCTGTCCTCAATCCTTGAGCAAACCTGTGACGTAGGTATCATACCCCATTTTGTAGGTGAGGAAACTGAGGCACAGAGAGGGTAAGTGATTTGCCCAAAGCCTCACAGCGCTTAAGCAGTGGAGGCAGGATTTGAACCCAGACTCCTGACTATATTCTTAACCCTTTGTAACCCACCTCACAGGGCTCTTGTGAGAATTAAACGTGTTATCCATCAGTGTGCATAACACCGAGTTAGGCTCGTGGAAAGCGCTGGGTAGGGGTTAGCTCCAGCCCTGCCCATCTTGTCACTCTCCTCCAGTTGCCAGGCGCCTCGGGCTCTGACCTGGCTGCGTGGCACGGGTGCTAGTGGCTCTGAGCAGTTCCTCCCCTGTGTCTGTCCTCCGTCTCCCCATCCGGGATATGGAGGTGGTGGGCCAGCTCCCAGGCGCTGTGCCTCCCTCCGCCCAGCCCTCCCTCTCGCCGTCTTGCAATCTTCTCGGGCCCTGTGCCTGGCCACCTTCCACCACGGCTGGGGTCCAGCTGCCTCTGAGACCTCAGTGGGAGCCCCTCAGACAGTGGGTCCGAGGGCACATTAGAGATGACCGGAGGCCGGTGTTCAGGTGGCCCAGGCCCCGCTCTCTGGCCCCTGCTGGTGCCCTGGGACCCTCCAGCTGAGCGTGGTGGGTCAGTTGATTGGAGGTGATTGCCGGGTGGGAGATGCAGCCAATGGGATGAGCTCTGAGTCGGACACAGCTTGGTCCAGTCCCAGCCCTTCTCCTCTCTGAGTCTGTTGCCTCCTGGGAAAGCGCGGATGATACTCTGAAGCATGGTGTCCCTCAACGCATGAGGATGAACCTGGCACGGGGCAGTGCCTGGCCTGGCGCCGGCCACCGCCAGGGCTGCCTGCTTCTCCCTCCCACCTCTGCTCGGGTCAGAGGCAGAGAAGGCAGACAGAAGCAAGGCTTTTTTTTGGCCTTTTCAGTCTGGCTTTGCTTTGGGTCACATCAGACGTGGGAGGGGAAGTGGAGGCTGCAGCCACGCTGGATGGGGAAGCGAGGGCCGTAAGAAACCAGGGCTGCGACGTGCCACGAGGCGCACGCCGGGGCCCGAGGAGCGCAGGGTGACTTGGGATGATTTGTCTGCCAGTGACCTTGGTCCAGTCACAGCTTTGCTGTCCTCTGGGCTCTTGCCTGTCTGGATGTGGAGGACTTGGGTTGCCAGGGCCTGCAGCTCTGTCGAGAGTGGAGCGTGTTAGGTGAGGCCGGAAAGCCTGACTGTGCCCCCTCACGTGGCACCCACTTGTGTGTGTGTTTGTACAGCTCTCCACACCTCCCGCCTGTCACACTCGGAGCCACCCTCAGCCACCCCGTCGCCAGCCCTCAGCGTGGAAAGCCTGTCGTCCGAGAGCTCCGGCCAGCCCCCAGGTGGGGAGCCTCTGGAGCCACCAGTCGTGCCCAAGAGCTCCTCAGAGCCTGCTGTCCATGCCCCGGGCAGCCCTGGCACCTCGGCCAGCCTCTCCGCCAACTCCTCCCTGTCCTCCTCTGGGGAGCTGGTGCAGCCCAGTGTGAACCGGACACCTCAAGCCAGCCCTGGCCTTGCCCCCAATACTAGGGGCAGCCCAGGTCCCCCTCCAGCCAAGCCCTGCAGTGGCGCTGCTCCCACCCCTCTCGTGCTGGTTGGAGACAAGAGCCCTGCGCCTTCCCCTGGAACCTCATCCCCACAGCTCCAGGTAAAGGTGAGTGCCTCACCCTCGCTAAAGGCTGCTGTCCTGTCTAGTGGCCGTGGGCCTGGTCTCAGGGCAGGGTCTCTGATCCTTCCATCGTTGCTGGCCCTGACTTGTTGGGTGACCTTGGCTGTGCCCATCTACCCATTCACCACTGCATTCATTGAGGCACGGCTCCCCCTCTCCATCCTTTCATCCATTAGCCAGACCTCCCGTCCATCTGTGCATGTCTCCACTCGCCTGGTCTTCCATGTCTTGAGGCGTCTGGCCCTTATTTACCTGCCTAGCACATGCACGTGCCCATTTGGGACGCATCCACTAGCCACCACTTAACCCACACATCCTTCCGTTCACCCTTCCATTCACTGAGGTCCTATTTGTGCCAGACCCTGGCACAGTGGCGTTGAGACCTTGTCCTTGCCCTCTAGGGGCTCACAAGCTGCTCAGGGAGACAGGCCTAGATGATTGTTCTACAAGGCCGCCTGGGGTAGAGCACAGAGGGGAGGGGATGACTCCCTTCTTGGGGTCATTTTCCTTCTCCAGAGACCTCAGTCTCCCCTCCTATAGAATGGGGCAGATGGTGTTCATTGAGTCCCTCCTGTGTGTATGAGCTGGCCTGGGCTCCAGAGGTGAGATGACCGTGGCGATCCCTGCCCCCCAGGTGCTCACAGGCAGGTCGGGGTAGGGTACTGGGATGACTGCGCCTTGTGTAGAGTTTGTTTTTGGCGGGGACGGGTGGAGGAGGGGTCGGCCCTCAACAGGCAGAGGGCCGAGGAAACAGCTTTCCTGGGTGCTTCTCTTGTGTGCCACTGCAGGGGTGCGGACAGCCCGTGCTGTGGGCTCCCCTTCCCAGGCCCCTTCCCAGGCTGGCCCCGTGCTCCATCCCCTCTGGGGGCTGCAGTGGGCACGAGGAGGGTCTGCTGGACACCCATCCCTGGGAGCTCGTTTTCCACCTGACCTCTGTGGCTGGTGAAGCACTTGTTTCTCAGTGTCACGCCAAGAACCAGGGGTCACCAGGGGTCAGGACATTCCTCTGGGCACCTAGTTCATGAGGGGGCCTCTCCTGCCACCAGAGTCCCTTTGCACCACCAGGTTCTGATTCTACCTTTTTTCCCGTACTCTGCAGCCCTCTGAGGGCCCGGCTGTAGTCCTGGTCTGACCTACCTGACAGAGGATAAGTCTGGGGAGGAGCCTGAGCTGTTGGTCTGTGCACCTTTCAAATGCCACTTAACCTTCCCTGGCCTGGGCAACTGCCTCCTGTCCAACTCTATCACCACCTGCTGTGTGACCTGGAGAAGGCCCATCCCATCTCTGGGCCTCAGGATGCTCTGAGGAGCCCCAGGGCTCCTTGCTGTGGGAGGTGGGGAGGGGTGTTGATTTTGGACGCCCCTCCCTTTCCCCCTACAGGCAGCTGCCTTTCAGTCTGTTTCCTGTCCTGAGGTCTGTGAAAGGTTGGTCTGAAGGAATTCTGTGGCTGAGAACCCTTGAGGGACTCAGGGGCCTTTGGGCTGTTTGGCCCTGCTGGGCCCCTCTGGGTGTGACTGTGGAGGGTGTGGGCAGAGCCCAAGAGGACTTCCTCCTGGGGTGCCCCATCCCTTACCCGAACCCCAGGATTCGGGGAGAACCCGAGACACTGGGGGCAGGAGCCAGGCAGGCCCGTTGGGCGGGTGCTGCCCTGTGGGGCCCAAACTATCACCCTGCGGCGCCTGTGGCCTGGGACTTACCTTGCTTCAGATCCCAGAGCAGCCGCCAGCCTGAAGGAATCGCCCCCAGGCTGGCACAGGTGAGGTGAGCGGGCTCCTCCCTCCCCCCAGCTGTTGGAAAGCCCGGTAAATACTCCTGGGAACACTCCATGGCCTCCAGTGATGCCTGGGGAGGGTGGTTGGAAGGTGCGGGCACTGCCCACGTGGCAGGCAAGGCCTGTCCCAGTGGGGGGCCTGCCCGGCTGTGCTGGCCTCAGGACGGGGATTACCCCAGAAGGACAGAAAAATGCAGAGCTAGGGGGCAGCAGAGGATGGGCAGGGGGAGCTGGGCAGGAAGGGAGCTACCTTCCTCCTCCCTCTACTGATAGTGGGTTCCCTGTTTTTGCTCTTCCTGGCTGGGGGACCCTGGGCAAGGAGCTGAGCCCCGGCATCCCCGCTGGGAAAGGGGTGGTTGTGAGGCCTGGATGAGCTACTGTAGCTCTGTCCCACCCTACACTGCATGTCCTGACCACTGCCCCCAGCGCCGGAGGGCTGCCCCAGCCCGAAATAGAGTCTCACTGCAGCTTGGGCCCTTGGGAAGAGCGTGACCTTGAGCCAGTTACTTAACCTCTCTGAACTCGAGTTTACTCAGCTGTAAAATGGGCACGACACTACCCACCTTGTGGAGTGGTTGTGAGAATTGAACAGGAATGTAGAGAAGTATCCAGTGCGGCGGCAGCACACGGGAGGCGCTGGGGAGTGGAAGTGTTTGTTGAGTGACTGAGTTCCTCAGAGACTGGCTGCTGAGGGATTCTGTCTCTGCCTGATTCCTACCGCCCCGCTTTCCATGGTCCCATGTGATCAAGCTGCCTGGGTCTTACTGACCCCTCCCTGACTTATCTTCTGCCACGTCTCCCTGCCTTTAGTCTTCCTGCAAGGAGAATCCTTTTAACCGGAAGGCATCACCCACAGCGTCCCCAACCGTAAAGAAGGCCACCAAGGGCTCCAAGCCAGCGAGACCGCCTGCCCCAGGACACGGCTTTCCGCTCATCAAACGCAAGGTACAGCTGGGAGCCCCAGACAACTGGCTGCCTGGGCCCGGGCCCCCTCCCTTGGCCGCCTCAGGCTTCCCGTGGGACTCTGCCACAGGATGGGCTGCCTGGGCAGCTTCCCTCAGATGCTGGAGGGGGCGTGCTTGGGAGGCCCAGCTGGGAGATTTATGAACTTGCAGCCAGGGGGATTTTGAGCAGATTAGCTGCTCTGACCAAAAGCATTGGGGGATGCATTTAAATTGTTACTAATAATAGTTCAAGGCTCTGAAGCGTTCATGTGACAAACAGCTTAGAGTGTTCTCAGGTTTCTCTGTCTAATAGGGTCACTTTTGCACATTGTGATATATTTTCTCGAGTGGCAGAGGAGGGGAGGAAGTTGCCAGAGAGAAGCAGGAAGTCGTATCGCCCTCTGGGCCTGCCTGTTGGAGCTGGGACCAGGGGCATGGCAGGGGCGTGGCTGTCCCTACACCCATCCCTTGCCACACCGGGGTGTGGGACGGAGCCAGGGCGCAGGGCCTGTGGAGGCCAGTGCTGGCCGGAGAGAAGAGGGAAGCTCCTGTTCCTGGCGGCCAACAGGTGGGAGGGCGGGCTGACCTTCAGATAACTGGGCGCTGTCGGGCAGGTTCAGGCTGACCAGTACATCCCCGAAGAGGACATCCATGGGGAGATGGACACCATCGAGCGTCAGCTGGATACCCTGGAACACCGTGGGGTCCTGCTGGAGGAGAAGCTGCGTGGTGGAGTGGACGGTGCGGGAGCTGCCGGGGGCCTGGCGGGTGGGACTCGGGTAGGGGGAGCCTCTCTTCCAGGGTAGGAGCCGCCGTGGCCCCTTTGAGGGTGGGGACTGCCTCCAGCCCTGGCCTCAGTGGGCATCTGGTTTCCAGAGGGCCGTGAGGATGACATGCTGGTGGACTGGTTCAAGCTCATCCACGAGAAGCATCTGCTGGTTCGGCGGGAGTCCGAGCTCATCTATGTGTGAGTCCTTGCTCCCCTCAGCTCCTGGCTCCTCCCCCCAGGATCCAGAGAGCTTAGGACCGGGAATCTTCACCTTCCTCCCTTAACAGTGACAGCACAGGGCAGGCAGCCGCAGAACTAACAGTCACCTTATTCCCACCTTCCAGCTTCAAGCAGCAGAACCTGGAGCAACGCCAGGCCGACGTGGAGTATGAGCTCCGGTGCCTTCTCAACAAGCCGGGTGAGTGTGGCCACACCCACTCCCCAGACACCTGCGCTGGGGCCTGGTGACCTGGAGGAGTGGGCTGGGGAGGGGACAGACCGGGCCCTGATGGGGGTGCACGGGCAGAGCCTGGGAACAGGGCAGGGGGTGCTGCCTGGGTCATAACAGGTGAAAACTAAGCTCAAGCCACGACGGGAGAGGGAACGGCATGGCCAGCGTGGGGCTGTGACGTCTGTGGTGTTGGGGTGGCAGGCCTGCAGAGAACACCGAGACCAGGAACAGACTGGCTTGTTTTTTTTAGATGTTGGGGGTAGGAGTTTATTAATTAATTAATTTATTTTTGCTGTGTTGCATCTTTGTTTCTGTGCGAGGGCTTTCTCTAGTTGTGGCAAGCGGGGGCCACTCTTCATCGTGGTGCGCGGGTCTCTCACTATCGCGGCCTCTCTTGTTGCGGAGCACAGGCTCCAGACGCACAGGCTCAGTAGTTGTGGCTCACGGGCCCAGTTGCTCCGTGGGATGTGGGATCCTCCCAGACCAGGGCTCGAACCCATGTCCCCTGCATTAGCAGGCAGACTCTCAACCACTGCGCCACCAGGGAAGCCCCCTTTTTTTTTTAATAAAGTAATTTTTAAAAATATTTTTTTATTTTTTTAAATTTTCTTTATTTTTGACTGCATTGGGTCTTTGTTGCTGCGTGTGGACTTTCTCTAGTTGTGGCGAGCGGGGGCTACTCTTCGTTGCGGTGCACGGGCTTCTCATTGCGGTGGCTTCTCTTGTTGTGGAGCAAGGGCTCTAGGCGTGCAGGCTTCAGTAGTTGCAGCATTCAGGCTCAGTAGTTGTGGTGCACGGACGGGCTTAGTTGCTCCGAAGCATGTGGGATCTTCCCGGACCAGGGATCCAACACGTGTCCCCTGCATTGGCAGGCGGATTCTTAACCACTGTGCCACCAGAGAAGTCTTGATTGGCTTGTTTTGGTACCCTCCTCTCCTGGAAGGTGTGGGTGGGCTCCTGGCGGGGAGGGGTCAGGCTCCAGGGCCCAGGGCTGCCTTGCTGCGTGAGGGAGAGCAGGTACTTGTCCAGAGGCAGCTCTGGGCTCATGGCCGTTAGGCCAGAGCATGGCAGGGCTCTGCTGGCGGGGGGAGGGCCAGTGGAAGTGCCCCTGCACAGCGTGGCTCAGGGTGACTCTGGGAGGGAGGGATGGGATGTGCTGAGAATGGAGCGGGGCCATGGGAGGATAGGGTGTGGAGTCACACAGCCCTGCGTTCTGCCGCTAACTTGCTGGGGGCCCTTAGGCGGCTTCCTTAGCCCCACCGAGCCTCAGTGGCTTCATGTGTAAGACAGGGATGAAGGTGCCCGCCTGGGAGGGTATTCTAAGGCCCAGGAGCCGGTGCACATGGAAACACTCTGTGCCCTATGAGGGGCTGATGGCTGATGGTTTTTATGTGGCTGAGCTGGGGTCTGGCCATGACATGGGGTGAGCACAGCTGTGGGCTGAGAGAGAGCACAGGACTGCGGAGTGTCCAGAGGCTGGAGCCAGGGCTTTTGACCGCTTCCTCTGGCCCAGGTGGTAGGAATCGTTGTTCCCATTTAACAGATGAGGAAATGAAGAGCCCGAGAGGCTGAGAGTCTTGCACATTGGTGGTGGAGCTGGGCTTCTAGCCATGTCTCTGACTTGGGCATGTCCCTGCACACCCAGCCCCTCCTGCCGGCCGGGACAGTGGCCCTGCTTTTCCACTGACCAGGGAGATTGGGAGGCTGGATGTGACCCGGAGGCAGGAGTGTCCCTGAGGAAGTCACAGAATGTCCCAGCTCTTTGCTGCCACCTATGAATCACTCCCAAATCTCTGGAGGCTGGGGCGTGGCCGCCGCTCAGAGGAAGCCGCAGCGACACCTTGTGGTCGAAATGGGGACAGCACCTCTGTACCCCAGGCCAGCCTGGCCCTGGGCTTTTTGTGTTGCTTCTCCAGTCCTCTGTGTGGTGGCAACACATCGGGGCTTGTCATCCTGTCCTGGTTGTTGCCTTTGGAGGGTGAGACTGGCTTATAAGGCCCCAGGTGGGCTGGAGATCCATAAGACACTGTAAGGGCTGTAGCTTGGATCAAAGCATTCCAAGGCTGGCCAGGTACAAGCACTGGCTCCACCCTTGCTGTGTGACACTGGTCAAGGACTTAACTTCCGCAAGCCTTGGTTTTCCCACACGTAGGTCGGGGACATAACTTACCCAGGCCCCAGATTTGGGAAGCAGCAGAGTAGGATTTGAACGGGGGTGGTGACTGAAACCCATGTTGTCCCCAGAACTATGCTGGGTCAACGGTTCCAGTTTTGGCAAGAGGTGGTGGTAGGGGCAGATGTTGTGGAGGGAAGGTCAAGTGTGGGCATCCCTCCCCTGGGAGCCTGTGGGCTGGGTGAGAGGAATACCGGGGTGCAGGTGGGCCTCTGAGGGTGGTTCTGTAGGATAGCTCAGGTTCTTGAGAGGAGGCTGGAGGGGCAGCAGGTGTCTGAGACATCAGGGACACCTCCTGGCAGGGCTCCCTGCCCCCAGGGACCCCTCTAGTCCACCCTCCTTCATGGCATTAGATGAATGTCCCAATATGCCCCTTGGGTCACATTGCTTCTCCTGCATGAGGACCCCTGGGGTTCCCTGTTATCTCCCCACCCCTGCCCCACTTTGGCCAGCTCGCCATTGGAGGCTCTCAGCAGACCCAGCCTGAATCCTTCCCCCAAGAAACCATCTAGTGAACATTTGTTGAATGAGTGCATGAACATAGCAGGAAACTCTTTGGCACGTGCTCTTCTCTGTTCTCAGAACACGTATTGTGCTGGACCTCCCGGAGCCCCCTTGGAGAGTTTTTTTGGTAGGCAGACTGGTATCCTTGGTCTCTCCTATGACAACCTTCATTTCTCCAAAAATTTGTAATCCCCACCCCTCTGGGCCCCCCTCCCCAGAGTGTCCAGCGTGGGGCTGGTCTGCAGCCACCCTTAGCACTTAGACGTTAGTTCCTCGCTTCCTGGGACTCATGTCCCCAACTTTTCTCCTTGGGCAGAAAAGGACTGGACAGAAGAGGACCGGGTCCGAGAGAAGGTGCTGATGCAGGAGCTTGTGACCCTCATCGAGCAGCGCAACGCCATCGTCAACTGCCTAGATGAGGACCGGCAGAGGTGACGTGGCTGGGGGAGGGCTTCCCCGGGGCTTCCTGGGGGCGGGGCCCTCACTGCCAGTCATCCCAGCGCTGCCTGCTCAGCCTGCGTGGACTCGGAGTCTGGAGGGGCCTGAGAGATTACCTCGTCCTTCCTCCCGTGGGACACTCAGCTTCCCTTTCTCATTTCAGGGAGGAAGAGGAAGATAAGATGTTGGAAGCCATGATCAAGAAGAAAGGTGAGGCCCCTCCTGGGGTTCTGGCCCACTTGAACTCCTGGAGGGTGGGGGGTAGGTTGGACAGAGGGTTGGAGTGGGCGCTACAGGGACGGTGTGTGCAAACTCCTAGCCCCTGTTTTGCCAAGAAGGCCGTGTGTAGCAAGGCAGTCACCCTAAGGCCAGGAGAGTGGGCGTGGGATGCCCTGGTGCCCACAGGGAGGACGGTGGCGTGTGGGAGCATTTCCCAGGGCGCGTCTGCCTTAAACGGTGCGTTCCTCCTTGAGATCTGCAGCTGGTCTAGGAGGGGTCTGTGGGACCAAACAGCAGGCCCTCCCGCAGATACGATAGTGCCCAGAATGGTTAAGAGAGCACTGGACTGGGAGGCATGAGCCCTGGGCCTAATCTTGGTTCCCCAGTGACTCATTTGGTGGCCTTGCGGTTAAGTCTGGGCTCCAGTTAGACTGGATTCCGGTCCCAGCTCTGGCACTTCCCAGCGGGGTGGCTTTGAGCCGCTTCACCCCTCTAGCCTCGCTCTCCTTGTCCGTGGAATGGGGGACAAGGCACGCACCTCCCGGGCATGTGCTGAGGATGACCGAGGTAATGTGTATAAGGCACTTAGTCCAGGGCCTGGCCCCGGCAAAAAGCTCGGTTGGTGCCAGTCTGTTTCAAAACTCCCATTTTCCTCGTCCATAATAAGCTAGGGGCTGGGCGAGATGATTTCTGAGGTCTCTTCTACCTCTGACAGTCAGTGTTCGTGTTGTAACCCACAGAGCTGTGAGCACCAGCCTAGGGGAGCCAAGCCCTTTAGAGATGAGCGTCTGCCACGCTGTAGGGCTCCCCCATTGCTTTCACGGGCGCTCATCTCCCGATCCTGCCAAAACGCTGGGAAGGGGTAGGGTCTCGTCCTAGAGACAAAGAAATGGAAGCTCAGAAAGGTGAAGGGGCGTGCGCACGGTTCCAGGAGAGGGGGTAGCGGTGGGCTGAGCCTGTTGGCTGGCGCTCCTAGGCCATCACCACCACCCCCGGCCTGCCCCGATCGACTCCCCTCTCCCTTCTGCAGAGTTCCAGAAGGAGGCTGAACCCGAGGGCAAGAAGAAGGGGAAGTTCAAGACCATGAAGGTGCTGAAGCTGCTAGGAAACAAGCGTGATACCAAGAGCAAGTCCCCGGGAGACAAGAGCTAACAGTGCGGGCTGCCAGCTGGGGACTCCACCGCTCCTGGCTCGGCCCCGGGCTGTGCTCTGCCAGGGACGCCCAGCTTCCCTTCAGGATCAGTCGAGGGGAAAGATGACTTAAGGGGAGGGAGCCTCTGGGTGATGGCCTCTCCCTCCTCAGGGTCCTCTGGCTCGTCTGGGCCAAAGAGTTTTCTTCCCTCTCCTCTGAGCCACCGGCAGCTGCGCCTCAGCCCTGCCCAGCCTGGCTGTGATGACCCCAGATGCTGGGACTGACCCAGGGAGCGAGCCGGCTCCTGGGTCCGGGGAGCGGCCGCAGCCGAGCACACCCGCCCTCGTCCCACCCAGCACCTGGCCTGCCGTGCCGGGCAGCTCCTCGGTCCTCTTCCCTTCTGTGCCACGTGCAGAGGGGAGCCTTACCTGTCAGAGTCTCTGGGTCTTTCTGCCCACGAGGTGGGCCCGGGGTGGGCCTCTGGCCCGGGTCTCCCGCCCCGGCCCTGGTTCTGAGTCTCTGTCTTCCTTTCAGTGCAGGCGGCCCTGACTCTCTTTCTCCTCACTCAGGACCTCTATTTATGAAGTCTCTTAATTAAGTTCGAGGTAGTTACTGTGTCCTCAGACATGAATGGGCCTGGACAGATCCCTCCCTGTGTTGCTCAGAGCTCTAGGAGCTTCCCTCGTCTCCCCTCATTCTGTAGGAGGTCTCTCTGTCCGGGACACCGTGCCGGGGTGGGTGGGAGCCAAGTGCTGAGCCCCCGCAGGGAGGGTCCCGGGGACGCAGGCCCCAGCTGCGGTTCTGGCCCTGCCCCTCGGCCAGGTCAGCAGCAGGCGGGGCTGCTGCCGTAGGTGCTACCCCTGGTCCTTTACTGCACTGCGGCCCGGCCCCTCCTTTAGGCTCTCCCCGCCACCCCAGGGCTGGGGCGCAGTGGACCCACTCCGGGTGGTCATCGCCAGCCTGTCTTCTCACACTCGTCTGTTGTCTGTTCTCTCCCGACTTGTTGCTGCCGAAGGACTCATGGTCGCTCAGCCCCTGGGATGGCTGTGGGAGCGGAGGAGCCGATGGGGGCCAGCACCTTCCCCCCACAGAGTGTGCCCAGCAGCTCTTGGTCAAAGCACTGTTGCTGTAAGCTATTTCCGGGGTGCCTCTAGGGCCCCCTTCCCTCAGCCCGCCTATGGGGAGAGGTTGTACTGTATTAATTTGAGAGGGTTTTCCTCCCCGACAATAAATGGAGACCACCTCAGTCGCCAGTGCCCTGCAGCCTCGAGGCGCCTTCCCCTCGCCAGGCCTGCCTTCTTCCCTGCCTCTGCCAGGCCTTGAGGCCGGCGTCTCTGCTTGCCCAGGAGGGCGTGGAGGGGCTGTCCACCGCTGGGGGCCCTGGCCCTCACTGCCTGCCCCCCGGGCAGGACCCCTTCCTCTGCAGGGACAGGTGGCTCCCGCGCCTGTGCAGCCCGCGGCCGCCTCCTTCCTGACATGCCTGTTGACCTGCAGCTGGGGTCACCAACTCCAGCGGCAGCTGACGCACGTGAACCGGGCTGGGTGTGTCCTGAGGGACGGCCCCGACACCCGGGTGGTGGGGGCTGGGGTGAACGGGGGTGGATACGCCACAACTAGAGGGGAAGTTCTTCCTCATTTAAGTCAACTGTAGCCTGTGGGATGTGGGCCCAGTGGGGCCAGATCTTTCCATTTTTCAAGAGAAACTGGAAATCCAGATGGTGCGTGTGTGTGATTTGTAAATGTTGGCAACCGATGCGAATTTAAATCGAGGGCAGGCTGCTGTGGTGTCACGGGTGGGCCGACTTTGTCCTGGGCTGTCCTGGGTTCTCTGGTTCGCTGCTCCTGGGCCACGTGCTGGGGCCTTCGAGGTGGAGGGCGGCTGTCCTCGTCATGTTGCACCCTTGGCCCTCAGGTTCTGGAGGGTGTGTGGATACAGCTTCTCATGGAGTGTTACAGAGCCCAGCCCTTGATCTGGTCCTCTCTGTTTGTCTGTTTGAGGCTGCAGGGCTGTGTTTATTCTGCAAACCCAGACTTTGGTCATGTGGCCTGAGAAGATTATATGAATCCCTCCAAGTGGGATGGTTGGTTGAAATTTCTGAAATACTTTGATTTATGGGGACAGAAAAATGACAGAATACTGGAGACCATAAGGCTTGTGGTTGTCAAGACACGGGGACTGCCGTGTGCCGTGCGCCAGGCCTGGGGCGCTGCTCCTGGGGGCGGATGTCTCCTCAGCAGCCCTTTGAGGCAGGCCGCACAGGCGAGCCATCGGAGATGAGGCTGCTGGGCTCAGACCGCACAGGCTGGGAGTGGACTTCCAACGCAGGACCCCTTCCGTCTGGGTCCCTCCCACCCCTTTGGGTTTCTTTCTATGGGCTGTGCGTTTGGTGGAGACAGAAAGCTAACTTTTAATCCTGAGTAGGCTACTTGCTAGTTAAATGACTCTGGTCATAGCATCTTGGTGAGCCCTGGTTTTCACATAGGGATAATGTACCATCACAGGCATTTATTGAGAATATCGAGAGTGACACCGGCACCTGCCGTCGTGCCCGGCCATGGGGTGCTCCAGGAGCCTTCGTTCCATTTTCACTTGAAATGTGTAAAACAGCTAGAAACCAACTGGGCTTGAAAAATTCTAACCCCTTGAACAAATAAGGTTTATCCCTCTGAAAACAAAATGGTGTGTGTAATGACCTACGTTAAATGTGTTTTATTAGCCTGTTAATCACAGTGGTTAAATATTTGCCCAAAGCTGTAAGAAGTCAAATAAGTAGGTCCTAAGACAGGTAGGAAGAAAGGAATCATATTCATTACTAAGTTCAGAAAACCTAATGTGCCGGACACAGGGACACACAGTGGGTGAGGCTGTGGGAAGGGAGCCCAGTGGATGCCCTTAGACATACACCCAAGATGGTGAGACCTGGATCCTTGCTTTCACTGTGTGTGTGGCTCTTTCCCCAAGAAAAGACTGTGTGTGTGTGTATGTGTCTGTACCTGTGACTGGTCTCAGAGGCTCAGCTGACTGAGGATCCCTGGGCAGGGTCTCAAGGAGAATCAGCTCGTTTTCTGAGATGTGGTCCATTTTCTAGGGTGCTATGTGCAGGGTGCCCTAGGTGGGGGCAGTGCTATACAACCATTTACATGGCTGAAGGCTGGGGTGGGTGGGCTGACCTGGGGGTGACCCTGCTTGGCAAGGGGGTGGGCTCCAATGGTAGAGGTTGGGCTCCCCCGCCCCCCTCCGGAGGCAGATTAAGTGGTGGCAAGAGCCTTCCTAAGTTCCTCACTCCTCTTGTGGTCAAGGTCTTCCATTTCCTGTAGTTTCTGCAGAGGGCATCAGGGAAAGCTGGGGATCAGGGAAGGAACTCCAGGAGCCACCGCAGATGGGAGGCTAGAGCCGGACTCCCGAAATGGCCGCAGCTGACCCTTTATTCCTGCTCACATCTCGTCCTCCACACTCACAGGGGTGCATCGCCCCCTCCCCGCCGGCTCCATTTCCCTGTTGCTTCTCCTACCTGCGAGATTTCAGTAAGGATGATCGCTTGGTACTGTCTGCCCTGCCCTAGGGCCTCCATGTCAGCCAGGAATTCTTTCCTCTCCTGGATTTCCTTTACCACTGGAAAGGGAAAGGGCCGTCAGTGTACAGGGCAACGGGGGCCCTCAGGCTCCCAGGAGGGATGGCAGGGACGGCAGGTTGCTTTTCTTGGGAACAGGAAGCAGTTCTGCGGTTGCCCCTCAGGGATTCCCCCCTCCACACACACTCCCCTCTCCAGCGTAACTGGCCCATCAGGGGCTCACGTTCTTCAAACCGGTCCAGCTCAGGGGCTGGGTTCTCCTGTTGCACAGGAGGGGGCTTTTTTTTCCGTTCCGCTGGCTCCTTCCCGGTGGCAAAAATATTTTGGAGTCTTCGCTTCTCCTTCTCCAGATCTCCTGTTGGGCCCGGACATGGCCTAGTTAAGGCGTGAAGAGCACCCCCATTCATGGTCCGTGTTCCCAGTTGGGCACGCTCGCTCCAGGGTAACGTGGGTAGGGCTTCTGCAAACCCAGCACCTTCTACCCTAGGTGTCCCTGAGCTGGTCAGTCATGATAGGCAGGAAGGGGTTGAAAGGACCCACAATAGAGCTTCGTCAAAACCCACACGTTGCCCGGGTGCAGAGCAAGGCTAAGAAAACTCAGTGACTGCCGCAGTGCAGCTGGGATGGGGAGGCTGCCTGGGAGCTGTCGGAGGGGCTCGCCCAAGAGCCATGTCAGGTGCCAAGTAGAAACGGGTGGCGGGGAACGACTCCCTGAAATAGGCTGCAGCGCACAGGAGCCCTGGGTTCCAGGCACCGTGTGAGCTTCAGAGAGCAGTGGCCGTGATGCCTGACCGCCGAACATTCATCAGAGATGGGCGGAAACCAGTTAATGGTTAAAGAGAGTTCTGGAAAAATGTATGAAAACGAACACCTAACTGGTTTCCCGTGCACCCTGAATGCCCCCAAGCTAACATGTGCTGAGGTTCAAGAGCATCGGTATAAACAACGTGAGAATTTGATCAGCTGCCCGCTCCGCGCTCTGCGGGCTGCAAGTCTCCCTGCCCCCTACCCCCTCGGAGGGCGGTAGGAGAGGGGCTGTAGTGGAGGCCCTTCACTTACGGGTGGCTTGGGGCTTGAACTGCTCCCGGCTGTAGGCCCCGTTGGCTTGGCACATGCTGGCAGGCCGGAGGTGGGACCGGACGGCCAGGATGGGAGGCAAGTAGATGGCTGGGGCCGGCTGCTTGGAAGGCAACACCCTCTGGCTGGAAGTTGGACTGCACTGTAGGGGGAGAGTGTCTCCTCCTGCGGAAGGAAGGGTCAGGGTGGGGGGGCCCTCCTGGCTTTTTTTTTTTAGTTTATAAAAGCGGTCCCTACCTGTTATAACAAGTCAAACAGTACAGAAGGGTCTTCCCTTCTCCCCTCCGAGCCCCCCTCTACGAGAAGCCATGGTAACAAGTTGGTGGTCTCGGCCCATTCTTTTTGTTGCTTACATAAACATGTTCAAAGATACGTGTGCATATGTAAGATTCATGTTTCAAACACTGGGTCATACTGTATTCTATTCAGTAATAGACTCTTAACAGTCTATCATGGACATCTTTCCAGATCACTCCATTTATATATAACTTATTTTTTATAGCTGTATACTAGTCCTTAGAAACATTATTTATTCAATGAGTCTCCTAGTTTCAGAAATGCAGGCAATTTCCAGTTTGTTTTTTTTTTAAACTATTTCAAACAATGATGTAATAAACATTCTTGTACATCCAGCCTTCGTCCTGGTGCTTTGGTTTCTATAGATGGATTCCTAAAACCTGCTTGCTCCGTGGGCAGGGAGGGGTGGTTTGGACGGTGCTAGACACCAATCCCTCCTGTCCGTCCCCACTGCCTTGACCCACCCAGACCTGGGGCTCCTCCCCCAGGCCAGCCAAATGTGTCACCTCCTACCTGGTTGACTGGCCCCTCCTCTGAATTGCCTTGAAGCCCAGCTCAGCACAGTCCCCAGCCACTGTTCTGATCTGGCCCCTGTCTACCTCCCTTACATTTCCAGCCTTCTATCATCCATCTGGCAAATACGTATTGAGCGTGTACTCTGTGCCAGGCCCAAGGCACTGGGGGTAAAGTGTGAGTAAGATGAAGCCCTGCCCTCGTGGCACGCGCATCTGGGGTGTAGATGATGATAAAACAAGTAAAATATATAGTACGTTAGTGACAGTACAGCGATGGAGCACAGGGTGTGTCGGAGCAGGATTTACAGTTATAAATAGGGTAGCCAGGGAAGGCCGCACGGAGACAGAGACATTACCCAAAGTGGTAAGAGGCCAGCCCTGCAGGTATTTCAGGGAAGAGCATTCCAGGCAGAGGGAACGGCAAGGGTAAAGGACCTGAGGTGGGAATGTGCCTGGAGTGCCTGAGGAACAGCCAGGAGGTTAGGGTGCCAGGAGCGGACTGAGCAAGGGGTGGGGTGTAGTGGGACTAGAGGTCAGAGGTCACGGAGGGCAAGAGACATACCGGGCCTCGTAGGCCTCTGGAAAGACTGGCTTTTACTGTGTGCGTGGTGGGAAGCCATCGGAGGGTTCTGAGCAGAGGAATGACATGAGCCCTTTAGCTGCCCTTGAAAATACAGCGTTGGGACTTCCCTGGCTTCCCAGCGGTTAGGACTCTGCACTTCCACTGCAGGGGGCATGGGTTCAATCCCTGGTCCAGGAACTAAGATCCCACAAGCTGCTCGGCATGGCCAAAAAAAAAAAAAAAAAAAAAATACAGCGTTGGGGGTCGAGGGTACAGGTAGTCACAGTCAGGATATGGTTTGAAGGTCAAGCAGACAGGACTGCTGATGGGTTGGATGTGGGGTCTGGGAGAAAGAGAAAGAGGAGACAGGATGTCTCTGAGGTGTCTGCCCTGAGGAACCGGAAGGATAGAGCTGCCATTATTCCCCACTACCCTTCCCTTCTCACGCCCTCTACCTAGGGCCACACCATGGTTTATCTCTCTTCTCTGAAGAGATGCTTGCTGTGCTTTCTAGAATGTTCCTCCTACTCTCTCTGCTATTTCTACCTGTCCAGTACCAAATGCTACCTCTTCCTTTGGCTCAGTCTCAGTAAATAATTATGGCCCAAGTAATTCTGGGAGTTCAGGTGAAGGAGAGGAATTTGTGGCTTGCAACAGAATTTGAACTAAGCCTCAAACCAACAAGTAGGACCTGGTTAAGAAGAGAGGAATAGGGCTTCCCTGGTGGCACAGTGGTTAAGAATCCTCCTGCCAATGCAGGGGACACCGGTTCGAACCCTGGTCCGGGAAGATCCCACATGCCACAGAGCAACTAAGCCCGTGCACCACAACTCCTGAAGCCTGCGCACCTAGAGCCCATGCTCTGCAACAAGAGAAGCCACCGCAATGAGAAGCCCGCGCACCACAAGGAAGAGTTGCCCCCGCTCGCTGCGACTAGAGAAAGCCCGCACGCAGCAGACCCAATGCAGACAAAAATAAATAAATAAGATAAATTAAAAAAAAAAAGAAAGAAGAGAGGAATAGAGAGATGATTCTAGGAGAAGAAACCAGACTCAACACCAATGCTTGGAGGCAATATTTTAAAGAAAAAACTTTTAAGGAGAACAAAACTTCCAGGCAAACTGGTGACTTGTGTTGCCCTAACCACTAATGCAATTAGTCCTTCAACTAATGTTGAGCGCCTGGGAGCCAAGGTGCCATGGTGAACAAGGCAGACCCAGTCCTTGGTCTCCTGGTATTTACTTTTAGTGGAATTTCTAGCATATTCTTTGTAGTCATGTTATAGGGGACCCCAATGATTAGTAGACTGCTGAGTATGGAGATTGAGTTCTGTGACTCAGCCGTGTTGTGGTGCTAGGCAATGGCGGCCTGAGTTGTCCTTGTCTACAATGAGGAAGGAGATCTGACTTCTGAACTGGTCTGACGGAGCCTCCCTCCCTCTGCCAGTGCTGGGCAGGCACTGTCGATATTTGTCCCTCTGACTTTCCCATCCCCATGCCTCTGTGGTTGACCAGATGCCTCCTGATAGGTACCTTCTTTCTGGAGAGACGGCAAGAGCTATTGGTAGATTCAAGTGAGATTTGGCAGGTTTGGACCTTCTGGCATCCTCTTAAAGGTAACTCTACAGATCTCTGTTCTGATCCACTACGTGTTGATTCAGTTAAATCTCAGAAAGCAAGGTTGTTTTTAAGATCTTAGAGAGCACCTTGTTATTGTGCCCATGTACATTCACTTTTTTGTTTTCCTTGAAAATAAATAATACAATGTGTGGTTAGAGGTGAGCTGTGGAAAGGTTTTGCATACTTTTCCTAAGTTGGAAGCCTGCCAGTAATCTTGTTCCTGCCAGCTAAGCTATGAATGAAAAAATCTATGAATGAGACACACACAGTCCTCTCCTCCGGCGAGCTCATATGGTATGTGTGTAAGAGGGTGGGATTAGTTTGTAGACTTGACAGCGTTCAGAGTATTTGGCTGGGCAGGAAGTCTCGAATGGGCTGTGATCTGTTGGGAAGGTTGGCTGGAGCCAGACTGCAGGAGGGGCTCATGTGCTGTGACCCACGTCGGGGGAAGAAGCAAAGACCCTGCAAAGTCAATTCCCCAGGAGCAAGAGTCAGAAATACTATTCAATTTTTTTTTCTCTTTTAAAATGAGGTCCCCTACTCCTTAATATGGAGAAGCATGAAAAATGTGGCATAGGATCCCTCTGCCCTGGAAGCTTCTGCAGATGGCCTCTTACGTTTCATGGTGTCCATGATGTGGCGCCGTTGGAAGTTTGTCAGTTTGGATTCCTTCATCATCACTGCAGGACAAAGCACTTCAGTGAGGCTTCCTGAGCTGCAAGCAGATGCCTTTATCTCACCCCACTGAAATTTAACATTGTATCACCTCCTGCCCCCATTCAGCACCTGAGTACTTGGCCGCCCCCGCACTGCGGCTTGTGGGATCTTAGTTTCCCGGAACAGGGACTGAAGCCAGGCCCCTGGCAGTGAAAGCAACGGGTCCTAACCACTGGACTGCCAGGGAATTCCCTTCCTTTCCTGCTTTGTTTTTTTTCTATAGCACTCATCACTACCTAAGTTCTATGTACCTTATTATTTGTTACCTTCCTACTAGAATATTAGCTCCATGGGACCAAGAATTTTTGCTTGTTTTTCTTTTCTTTTTTTTTTTATTGCTGTATTTTCAGCACCTAGAACGATGTCTAAAGCACATAGTGGGCTTAAATTTTTTTTGTTGTTGAGTGAATGAAGGAATGAATGAACAAGAATTCATTAAGCATGTGCCAGGGGCTGGAGCTACAATTGTAGCTACAAATGTAGCCAAAACAGGCATCCTGTCCTGATGGAGTTCATGAACTAGAGGGGCAGATGGATGTTAATTCAATGTTAATTCAACGGGACACACTAGGTATCTGACTACAGGTTGCCAATGAAGGAAATTGACTACTAAGTATCTGACTACTAAGCCCACAAAGGAAAAGGTATTTGGTAGAGTGCTGGCGCCTAACAGTTGGTTGCACTGTGGTGGCGGGTGGGGAGGAAATAAAGCTTCCCTGGGGAAATTGAACGTGTGATCTAAGGGACGCAGGGGAGTTAACTACTCTAAAATTCTTAGTTCTTTGACTTTTGGCCACTTCCAAGTTGTAGGACCCCTGAATCTTTCTGAACTCCAGGCTTCTTATATGTAAAATGGAAACAGCAATTGCTAAACCATAAGTCATGCGGGGGAGAACTGAGTTACAGAGAGTAACTGTGACCACCGCTCTTCTTGTGTCCTTTAACGCACTGACCTCTGAGCAGCTCGCAGGTCTCTGGGGTGTAAGTGGCCGGCTTGGGGCAGCGCCAGAACCCTGCTCCTTTGGTCACTGTCTCCACCCTCTCCTGGGAAGCCATGGAGGGCTCTGAGGAGGGAAAAACGCAACGACACACCCACTGTCTCCCAGATCCAACCTCTGCTCCCACACCCCCAACACCACCCATAGTTTGGGAGCAGGGATCGGGTCGCAAGAGAATCGTGATGCCGTCTGTGAACATCGCGACAGTGCCCGATCCTCCCACCCAGAACAGATCCACTGGCAGATCCACACGCGTACAGAGACCTCAACCTGACCTGGCGCCTGTGTCAGAGAAGTCCCCTCGGGAGGAAAGGGGCGTTAGGGTAACCGTGCCCGCTGGGTGACACGCCTAAACGGAAACCTCACCCTAAAGTAAGACCCCGGCTGAGTGGTCCCTCCCCACAGAGAGCGGAGGCTGCGCTCAGCAGATCGTAACCGGGGCTCTGAAGCAGCACCCGCGCCCGGGCGCTGCAGAAATACTTTTGAGATCTCAGCGACTAGAGCCCGCAGCTAGCCTGCCTGGCTACCATGGTAACGCGCACGCGCCGCTCGGCGCATGCACACATTTATCGCCGCGCCTGCCTCTCGGAAGTGATTACCTCCAGGTCACGGCGCAGGCGCAGAGTACACTTGGCGTCGAGCGAGGAGGAGGCGTGCTTTTTGCGGGTCTCCGCTCGGGTCTGGGGCGCAGAGCCCGGTAGCTGTGGCGCGGGTGTCATGTCAGACAACGAGGACAAGTGAGTGCGGGAGCGAAGTGACTTTTGCGGAGCCTCGCAAGGGGCGGGTGAAGCGGGAGCCTGGGTCGAAGGAAGTTGAGGAGCCAGGTGTCGGGGGGCAGTGTCTGAGGGCACTGGGGGTGCTGAGGGGGCCCGCGGAGCTGGAGAAGGGTAGGGCGGTGAGCCGGCAGCATAGACCCGGCCAGAGGCTGGGCACAGAAAGACCCTGGCTCGAGGGTCCAGAGAGGATCACTGAAAAAGGTATCTTTCAGCAAACTTCCGCTGAGTCGGGCTCTGTGTCAATACCTAATAGGTGTATTAGGTATAGTCTCTGCTCTCCAGGTGGGGTCCCTTTCTAGAAGAGGGGGCAGGCCCATAGACATAATGCCGGGTCGTGTGAATTGCGTAGTAGGTCTGTAGTATAGAAGTAATCCAGAGGAGGGTCTGGGGAGACTTTGAGGTCGTAAAGGTCTGGGAGGCTTGCAGTAATCCAGGTGAGAAAAGGTAGTGACTTGCACTAGGGTGATAGTAGTAGAAGTGGTGAGAAGTGGTTTTGAAGTCTGGATTTATTTTGAAGCTAGAGCCCAGGAGATTACCTGACGTGTGGTGTTGGAGGAGAGGTCTATCCTGAAGGTAAAAATCGGGGAGTTCTCAGCATAAGTATATTAGTCAAAGCTGAGAAACAGAGGAGATCATCAGGCGGGTGTCAGTAGAGAAGAGGAGATGTCTGCGTGTCAGAGCATCCCAACATGGAGTGCTTCTGGGGAAGAGAGGAGAAACTGGCAAAGGGGACTGAGAAGGAGTAGCCAGTGAGGTGGGAGGACACCAAGAGTGTGAGGTGTCCTTGCAGTCAGGTGAGGAGAGTGTTTTGAGTGAGACGAGTGGTCCTGTGGGCCAACTGACACATCAGGCTAAATGAGAACGAGAATAGTCCATCACATTTAGCAATGTGGAAAACATTAACAAACTTGAAAGGATGGTTTGGGTGGAATCATGGAGGTGAAAGCCTTTGGAGTGAGATGATGACAGAATGGGAAGAGAAGAATCGGAAACAGTGAAGATGGACAACTCTTGAAAGAATTTTGCTCCCAAGGGGAGCATGGAAATAGGGCTCTGTGAGGAGGGAGTAGAAAAGTAAGCTGTTTGTTTTTTTAGACGAGGAACTCAAATGACTTAATGATTTATTAAGTGATTCACTCATTAAGTAGATATTTATTGAGTGCCTCCTATGCTAGTAACTCAGATGAGACACAGATCTCTGCCCTCTTTGATTCTACTAAGTGGTGCTCTAACTGGCTGCTTCTTCTTGTACAGTTTTGATGGCGACGACTTTGATGACGTGGAGGAGGATGAAGGGCTAGATGACTTGGAGAATGCCGAGGAGGTCAGTATCTAGCCTTGGGCTCCCCTCTCTGCAGCCCAAGCTGCTGCATAGCCCAGCCAGTGATGACTGACTGAATGCATCTGCCTCCCGTTTGTGGTCAGGGCACCGCCAGTTAGAGTGAGGAGAGATCTAGTCCTGGGTAGTGGAGGAGCCCCTCAGGGTGGGCCTGAAGGCTTTTGTCCACTTGGAGCACAGCGCATGGCTTCTGGGGCAGTTAGCTTACTGACAGTTGAAATATTCCCTTCATTCATTGAGCAAACATGTGTTGAATGTTTATTACATACCAGGAGCTCTGCAAGGTGGGGCTACATAAAGAGCAAGGGGGAGAGTGACCTGGGGTAAGGCTGGAGGGGTAAGGGCCAAGATCAGGCAGGATTTTGTAGTGTGAAGGTATCGGGAAGCCACTGCCAAGTTTTGAGCTGGGGAGCGGCATGATCCAGTGAGGAGTGAATTGGGGAGGAGCAAGGGTGAAAGAGAGCCCAATTAGGGAGCTCTCATAGACCTCCAGGTCAGACCTGTAGCTTGCACTTGGGTGCTGGTAGTGTCGGTGATGGGAAGACGGATGAAAGAGATATTTTGGTCGTTTGGATATGGGGCTGAGAAAGTGGGAGATGACAGGGATGACTCCCGTGTTTCTAGCTTGAGCAACTAGGTGAATGAGTTACTAGCGTCATAGATAAAGTAGGGCTTTCTGTCCCTTGTGACTGATGGAGGGAGAAGTGCTTTATGTCTCTTGGAGAGAGAGTGATCCCTCGATTTTTTTTTTTTTTTTTTTTAAGGCTGGGAAGCTGAAGGCCCTCTTGGGATTTCCTGTCTGCCTGGCACTCTGAGGTTATATGTTCTCTGAGTCAGAAACCTTCTCTGTCCTTCTGATCCCTTTCCATCTCTGTCCTATTGATTCTGCCTCCTCTGTGTGGTTCGGCCCTGTTTTCGTTTCTCCATTCCTCATGTCTCAGCCTGGTTTGGATCTTCATTGCTTTTCACCCACGTTACTGCAGAAATGTGTTGCCGGGTTTCGTGCCCTCAGTCTGCTGTTTGCCTTTCGGCTGCCAGAGTCGTCTTTTTCACCTACCCACATGATTGATTACTGTTGGTCTTCCTAAAAGGTCTCTCTGCTTCTGCCCTTTCCACCTACGGAATATTCTCAACAAGGTATCCAGAGCGATCCTTTTAAATCTTAAGTCACTTTGTCTCTCCTCTGTTCAGAATCTGCATCCAGTGGCTTCTTAGCTCATTCAGAGGAAATGCCAAAAAGATGTACAAGGTCCTCCAGGATCCGGCCGCCTGCTCCCTCTGGGACCTTATCTCTTCTCGCTGTCCCTGTCATGCCAGGGAGCCCAGCTCAGAACCTTTGACTGTGCTGTTCCCTCTTCCTTTCCCTTAGATATGCACGCGACCTGCTCCTCAGCCTCATCAGGTCTTTGTTAGATGTCACCTCAGTGGGGCCTTCCTGACCATCCTGTTTAAAATTGCCACATTAACCCCTTCCTCCAGCATCACCACCCTGGCGCTCCCTGTCTTTTCTCTGTTTTTATGCTACACGTTGCACTTAACTAATCTTGTTTATTGTTTGTCTCATCTCATTATAATGTCAGTTCTATAGGAGAAAGAATTTTCATCTGTCTTACTGCACTATCCCAAGTGCTTAGAATACTATCTGACATGTAGTAAGCACTCAGTAAATACTTGTTGAGTTAATTCTTTATTATAGAATTTATTCTTCTGCCTATAACCCTGTACACACCGTTTGCTCTAATCACACTCCACAATTAGGTGTCCAGACCTAGTACATTCTCTCCCTCCTCTGTGCCTGTTGCGCATGCATTTCAGCCTGCCTGGAATGCCCTTTCCTTCCTCGTTAGCTTGGCAGCTCCTACTCATCCTTCTAGACCAGCCCAAGTCTCATCTCTGGACTGTATTCGTAACCCCCAGTATGAGGTAGATGTCTCTCACTTTCTTGTTAAGTTTGTGGCACACTTGCATACTTTTTTTTTTGGTTAATTTTTTTTTGAAGTGCTTTGATATTCCATTTTATTTATTTAAATACACACGCTCACACACACAATTACAACTCTGTAAATTAGTGAAATGGCACTCATTGGATGAATTAAATTACAACCAGTAAATGAGTGAACAGGAACGACAGAGTTAAAGAAGATATTTGCAAAACATATAACTGAGAAAGTACATCTATACAATGAATTCTTACAAATCAATCATAAAAATGCAGAAAATCCAATACAAAAAGGGGCAAGGGATTTGAACAGGTACATCACAAAAGAGAATATCCAAATAGCTAATAAATATATAAAAAAGATGCTTAACATCATTAGTCGTCAGGAAACTGGAAAGTAAACCACAAGACACCACTCCACACCCACCGAGATGGCTCAGATTAAACCAGACAAAGCAGACATCTCACAGTGACAACACCAAGTGAGAAGAAAGATGTGGAGCAATTGGAGCAACGTTTATATTATTCTGGTCCGAGTGTAAATTGGGCCAGCGCTCTGGAAAACTCTGTGGAGGTATGTACTAAAGGGGAGTATAGATGTATATTTTTTAGGGACCAGTGATCCCGCTCCTGGGTGTATACCCAACACAGATGCATACTTATGTTGACCAAAAGACATGTACAAGAAAATTCATAGCATAATAGCAAACTAGTCCAAATGCTCATTATAATTGAACGATTATATGGATTGTGGTATATTCCAACCATAAAATCCTAGATGGCTGTGAAAATGAACAAAGTACTGGTAGACACAACAGAATGGATACATCTACAAATATAACATTGAGTGGAAGAAGCTATACAGGAAACAGTACATAAGGTGTGATTACATGCACAGGAACTTCTTTTTTTTTTTTAATTTTTATTTATTTTTTTATACAGCAGGTTCTTATTACTCATCAGTTTTATACACATCAGTGTATACATGTCAATCCCAATCGCCCAATTCAGCACACCACCATTCCCACCCGCCCCCCCCGCGGCTTTCCCCCCTTGGTGTCCATATGTTTGTTCTCTACATCTGTGTCTCAACTTCTGCCCTGCAAACCGGTTCATCTGTACCATTTTTCTAGGTCCACATACGTGCATTAATATACGATATTTGTTTTTCTCTTTCTGACTTACTTCACTCTGTATGACAGTCTCTAGATCCATCCATGTCTCAGCAAATGACTCAATTTTGTTCCTTTTTATGGCTGAGTAATGTTCCATTGTATCTATGTGCCACAACTTTAGCCATTCGTCTGTTGATGGGCATTTAGGTTGCTTCCATGACCTGGCTATTGTAAATAGTGCTGCAGTGAACATTGGGGTGCGTGTGTCTTTTTTTTTTTTAATAAAGTTATTTATTTGTTTTTTTTTTTATTTTTGGCTGCATTAGGTCTTCGTTGCTACGTGCAGGCCTTCTCTAGTTGTGGCGAGTGGGGGCT